GGGGGGGGGGGGGGTTAAGTTTCTCTAAAACATTTTTACTGTCATAGGAAACAAAACTTAGCAAGCTTTGCAATTTTTATGATTAAACCTTTTTAAGTTTATCTAGTATATGTTAAAAAAACATTTTAAAGTTTACCACCACTACTTTTGCATGAGTTCTGCATGCAATTAGGTTCTGTTATTCAGACACATCGACACACACTGCTTTTGGTTTGCAATCATTATCATTTTCATCTTGCTGTTTAAATCACTCATAGATTGGTTTGAGAGAAATACTTTTTGCGTTTGTCCTTCCATCCGAATCTGGGTGAATCAGTTCTTTCAACCAAATCACAATTAAAGCTTGAGTTTCTTCATTTGTCAGTGCATCCAATACTATTGCTTATTGTTTTTTACATTTTTTATTTTGCAGGTTATTTGCATAATCAATCGACAATGCACACATTTACTAATTCCACCCAAAGTACAAAAAGAATACCCCAGTTGGGTTGGTAGATCGGTACTAGTACTGCATCAGAAAATCAATGGAAAAAGGAAAGTACCAATTTTTTTTAGTACCAAAAGTTGGGTACCTGGTACAATGGAAAAGCATCCTAAGATGGGGCTTTTTGCATACAGCTTACTGGAATACAAAACTACATTAAATCATCAGTTAAGAATTATACAGTGTGTGATATACACATCACAATTACTGACACACAGAAGGGGTTGTGTATACTGGTGATGGGACGTGTATGCGGGCGAGAGGACTGGGCCACTTACTCTCTGCAGTCACTGGAGATGTGAGAGGGCACTGTGTACTTGCAGTCCATGATCATGGTGAGGGTCTCGCTGTCGTTGGCCTCCTGGAAGGGCGGCTGGCCGCACACCAGCATGAAGAGGATCACGCCCAGGCTCCAGATGTCTGCAGCGGGGTGGAGATCAGAGATGGTGCATTGTGTGATCCCAGAGAGCCCAAAACCCAGGCGCTCGGATCAAGCAGCACCAGTGCTACACCCCGACACACCCTGTTTGCTTTATTAAGGACGGACAGTGAGAGCTGAGAATGCACTTCTCTATATCGCTCTTAAGGGTGGCTGTTTTTAATGCATCATTATAACAGAGACAAACTGAAAATGGAGGAGTACATTTTATGTACTTGTTACATGATCTCAATTTCACTCAGGCAGAGAGAAAAAGTGTGGTCATCATTTAAGTATCTTCCCAATAACACAGCAATGCTCAGAACAACAATGCGTGTCATTATTTGTTATGAAGTGAGCTCTCGGTTTTGAGATGGAGTCTAATTCCAATCATTCTCTAGTTTCATGGGCTGACAATGTCCTTGTAACCTGTTGTAAGATGAGCCAACACTAAACACCAAGCCCCACGCCAAAACAAAGAGCACACGAAACTGGGAACTATTTTCACAGTCCTTCATTTTTCCATAAAAACTCACACTTAAATCCCAGCGAAAAGAAAAAGAACTTAAAAGAAAGAACAAATCGCTTCTAGTGACCCAATTGTGGCAGAGGAACCCGCAGCTTGTGCAGGTACATCGTGCTCATCTGAGTCTGGGGTCCTGGGAGTCAGGAGAAAACAGAAGCTATGGCTAGATGGACAAAACCGCAGGAGCCAACTGATCTGCAATAATGTGGGTCACCTGACGTCGGCTCACCACTGTATCATATCCCACGCCATCTCCTTTACCAAACCTCTGTGGATCATTCAAACAGTCTGAGAAACACCGGGTCATGGAGATTCACCAGACACATGCAGCCTCATCGTGGGTGGCCATGTGTCAAAGACCCGCAATACACACACAAAAGCTTAGAGAAAGGCCTTTTGTTTGGCTCAGCTCCTCCCCAGAGCATGGTGTCCTCACACCGGGAGTTTAAAAGTAGTTCAGCACAGCTGTTCGCCCTGAAAGATGACATACGACTTCTGTCTGCGGCGGGAGCTCAGGCTACGGTAATTATCAACCCCATCACAGTCAGCCTCTGGCTCTTCCTGCTCACCACGACAGAGGCACCGCCACACTGCTCAGCCAGTTACAATGCTGTGGTTAAGCCACATTCATGAGATGGGCTTACATGCAGTAGACATGCAAGGAACATTCCTTCCACGCAGGCTTCTATAAAGATGGGTAATCATGCTGGCATCAGAAGATATCCTGGATCACCAGCCAGGGACAGATTCACAAAGAAGCCAGATAAGGAGACGTAGAAGAATGAGGAGGGTAACAAGGAAGCCAAGGAGGTGGGGGATAGGGAACTGACAGAGGTAAGACCCATTCCCTAAAAATGAATTGAATGAGTTAATGACATTAACCTGGAATTTCGGTGAGCCCATCCATCCTGTGACCTCATTCGCCTCCGCAAGGGTATGCAGATCACAGATCTGATCATCAGTGATCGTTGGCACCTGACTCAGACGGACTGGACTTAGCCAAACCACACCACAAGGATAACACTCTCACAGCTTACGGATATTTCAAAGGCATTTCCGCCAAGTTCTGCCCCAGCATGTGACCGGTAGTCACCTAGTTACCGTGGGGTCAGCTCCGGCTTGCAGATCACACTGATTCTCCAATGATTTACAGTCAGGAGAAGCTGTGCTAAACCTCTCAGGCCAACCTCCGAATGCTAGGGCATCACCTCCTTCCACTTCGGCTGTCACCACCTGCTCCAAATTCTCACTCGGGACAGCAGAGCTCCCAGAACCTGTGAGACACCAGAAGTCCCCCCTCCACCACTCACTGCCCCCCCCCCCCCACCTCGACTGCTCAGCTCACCTGGATGTCAGAGTCAGCTGGAGGAATCCCTCAAATCATTTTCAAAGGAAGCACATGCATTTTCATGCCAGCTGACACGGCCATGATGCCAGAGAGGCAGGCCGAGAAGAACATTGGACAAGCAGAGCCGACCTCGTTATTGCCAGGAGACTCTCTGCACACCCAAAGCATTCCACGTAGCCCATCGGGACCCAGAACCCTTAAAAAAAAATAACCACCCCCCGTTGACCTTATGAGCAGCCGCCTCTCCCCACACAGGTGTAACTTTTTCTGAGGACCAAGGCTACACCATGCTAACAGCTAATGAACATAGCCTGTTCTTCCAGGGCACAGAGGCACTGGCTGCTTTGGTTAGAACACCAGATCCCAGACTAACTGTGTGTTGTTTACGGTGTTTTATTTTCAGAGAATAGATGAAAGGGCAGCTCAGCGGAAGATGGATGCATTTAAAGCTATGAATAAACATGGGACTTATCGTTCACTCAGAACTGAATTGGGGCATTTTCATATTTTGAGTGGCTTTTTACCCTTTATGAAGCATGCCCTGAAAGCACCAAGCAAGAGCAAAAGCAACCACTTCCCTGCTCTTTTTCTGACGGGGGGAGGGGGACCCATTTCAACCACCATGGCCACAGGCGACCCAAAAAAAACGACACATAATATGTTTATCACAGACTGGAGTCTGGCTTTCGTGTTTCTGGCATTTTAAGTGAGTATTTCCTGCATGGATTCATTGTGGAGGTTTCAGCTGCACTGTATAACCCAGGTCTGGTCAAGCATTAAGAATCATAAGAGCTAAGGGTGAAGCCAATCAGAACCACAGAAAGGGTGTCAATGAAAGCAAGCTTAGGAATACATAATGAATCTAGATAATCAAACCTTCCTAATCGGACCTGCCTCACTCGGTTTTTCCACATATACAGCAAGAGATACAAAATGGAAGTGAGCAATGTGTGGATAAAACCGTGTGTGGCTCACAGGTCCGACCCCTTTTCAAAACACAGATGTTTAACGTGACAGATGTTCCTCAGGCTCCGTTTCTGTTCTGAAGGGAAGACAGAAAGGGAATCGACTATCAAAGATGTACAAGGTGCTTTAGGCTAACAGCCGCTCTACAAACACATGGGAAAACGAAACAGCGATGCAGCAGCACCAGTGCTGAGTATCTTAGAGCATAAGAAGCCCTGTCGAAAGCCAAAAGGCTCCAATCGAGTCCAATAACAGGCACCTTTATCACGCCTCTGCAGCAGTGCACACTTCCGTTAAAGAAAGTCACTTTATGTTAGTGGCATGAAGACAGCGAGCACAGCCCTGTACCGCTCTGGGGGCTTATAAGGGTGGGATGAGGGCTGAAAACTGGCTGCTGGTAAATTTAGAAATACTTGGCAGCTCAAACTGTAGCCAGTCTGAATTCAGGAATTTACTTGAGAGGATGCTAATGACATCCCAAGTTAAACGCACTGATGTGAAGTCAGGATGCCTTCCAAGTGCTGTCCAGTGAGCAGCTTTGAGGTTTCTGGCCAAAAACTCTGCTAGGGAAGACAGGCACTGTCAAAATACCCAGAACGGGAAGCTGGGTGTCCTCAGCAGAGCGTTCCAGAGTAGAGAAGAGCTCAGGTGTTATGAGCAGTAGCTACTGGGCTCACAAACTGCAGACTCCTTCATGGCCGTTGGTAGCAGTGAAGATCCCATGCCTATTCAAAGGGGAATTAGATCGAGGTTTGTTGCCTTTCTGCTTCATAAATCCAAAAATTTCCACAGGCACCCTTGAAAAAGTCAAGCGTTTTTTGGGGTATTACAACACTTTTAAACATTTTCGCATGTACTGCAAAGTGGCTATCTAGCAGTAATGCAGAATGACAAGGTATAGACTCATGCTCATCTCTATGAGTGTGTAAAAAGGAGATCAAGAAGAGATTTGTGGAAAGAAAAGCGCATCAAAATGTACCCACATTTGTACAAATAGCAAATAAAGCTTCATTTCATTTCCATCTCGAAACAAAGAGGCATTCTGGAGCATTAATTAAGCTCTGTCTGATACCGGGTGCGGCAGGGCGGAGATGCATTTTCTGGACAGAGACCAGACTGATGCTCTGAGCAGAGGATCAAAATCCTGTGCCTCATGTTAACCACAAACCATGAGTGACAATGGAAAACAGTGCACAATAGGAGCCTCATTTGGAAAAAAATATCAGCATAATCAAAATTCAGGTGTGAATGTATAAACTTGAGCCCTGCTTTGGTCAACTGTGTCACAAAGCCAGAGTTTCAACCTCAATTCCTAAGGTTGCAGCTCTGCACATACAGATTCGAAATGCGGCCGTCGCATACCTCAGGGCAACGTTAGGGGCTGTGGGTCTCCCACTTTTTCCTGAGAGGAGGAAGCTCCATAAGTACAGGTAGCTCAGTGCAGGCATCAGGACTCCACGTGTGGATCAGCCCCTAATACACCTGGTTTTCCACCTCCTCAGACACTCAGGTACCGTAATTGGTTCCCCAAGGTGGGGTTACTTCTTTAGACACCAGTCAGCCAGACCTCACTGCTGTAACAGCAAGAAGAACCGCGGATGTCAAACATCAGCCAAGCCACCTGCTGGCCAGCTACGCACAGCATATGCGCCACAGCGGTGGCTTAATCAGCGATTTGCAGATCTGTCGCCTGGCAACATCTACGCTGTGGGGACTCTGATGACGAGCCAGCGAGGTACTGACCTCAATCCACGTGAACGCTTCCAGACTGCTGTGCTCCGGGGACTCTCAAATCTGTACTCGGATACCACACGCCAGAATGATGGCAATCTCACACCGATAACATGCACTTGATGAGTAAATGAAATACTGACAGGAAACAGGGAATGTTTTTTTTTTTTTTTTTTTTACCCCAAAGCCAATGCTGAAATGGGTAATACAGTCACTTAAAGATCCCATTAAGTGAAACAATTATGCAGGAGACAGATCAGTATCTCAGAAATTTACTTCCACAGCATCTGCAAAGTGTCACAAACATCTCGACAACTGTATCCTAAAAATGAGATACTAAACAGAGGCTGATCATATTTTGTTCTTACACAAATCACAACTTTGTCAGCCTTCATAGGGCACCATGTTTAATAATTCCATTCCAAGCCAGAGCAGCTAAAGGTTATCAGCTGTTTGTATGTATGGTGAAATCCTACTGTCCAGTTAAAACCACAGTAAACTTCCAAGAAAGAAAGCCAACCGGAACAGAATGTAATGTAATGTCTTCTGCCCGTCATCTCTGTGGACAGATTCTTGACCCCTCGAAACCCACCTCTCCATTGCTGCTTTGTGGCTGCTACTCCCATGGTAACAGGACCTAGTTACAGCATCTGGATCGAACAAGGACATCTTGCTCAGGATGGAAACTGGAATATTTCTGACTCATAATAATATTACATTTACCCAGCCAGGATAGTTATTTAATTTCATACAGCCTTTCAATGTGGAACTTTTTTCCATGATAACAGAGCAAAGCCTTGTGCAAAAAGACAAATCCATTCAGAGTAGTGTATTAACACACCTTAAAACATGCCCTTGTATATGCCTTACAGAACTCAATGAATTTTTTTTTTTCATTATATGTAACATTCTCAGGTCGTTCCAACATTCATCCCAGGAAGACACCAGCATGCCTCATCCTGCTGGAAACTGCAGTGGTGGCAGCAATGTGACGAGCAGGGCCGTGGAAGCAGATTTGCATGTAAATTAAACAGAGACTCAATCTGCTCGAAGAAAATCTGTAGGAGCAGCAGACACATCTGGCGAATGCCGGGATGCGATTTCATCCTCAGATGGACCGGCCGCCTCCCGTCTGTGTGACAGGCTCATGCTCCCACTCTTGCTTCCAGATGGTCTGTTCAAAATCCAAAACAAATTACCCGACTTTTCTATTTTTAAACCCGCTGCGAAAACATTCAGCGTTCAACTCGAGTGATATTTTGGAAGCCAGGGTACTGAGTGAGGGAAGTAACATGGAACAATAATAAAGGTTGATTGGTTCTGCAAAACATACGAAAAATATCTCTGGTGGCAGAGCATGAAGATTCAAGTCCTGAAAGCTGAATGAGACTCGCCAGAGTCAGCAGTTTTGTTTTGTGTGATTGTTGTTTTCTTTTGCAAGCCTGAGGCCCTTATTACTTAAATCAACTATAAAATGTTTGATGTACCACAGCAAGTTTCATTTCTACCAAGATAATTAAATCAACTCTGAATGTGAAAACGGCAAAAACACTAATATTTAGTTTTTAAATAGGTTCACCCTACACTAAGCTGACATTATGCAAGAAATATTTATACATTTGAATACCTGACTTCGGCCATTGTGAAATTTTCTAAAGATAAGCTTTTGTCGCAAACTGTTCTTAAGATTCAAAGAAACTACTAGGATTTTTACATTGGAGGCCCAGCTGATCAATACAAGCATCACGGCAGGTTTTGCTCAGTGGTTTGACTGATGTAGGTTATCCTCCACCACTCGGTGGGGTGTCAGTTGGGGGTAAAAGTGTTACGGCACGTGGCTGGATCATTCCCGGCCTTCTTCAAAGAGGTGAGGGATTGACCAGGCCTATCAGCCGTTTTCACTTTCACTTTCACAATAGCAGACATTGCCATTCACGGGTGCCCTTCAGGCCTGTTTCTAAATGTAAATCTTCATTATGATAAAAGAATTTGTGCTTAGCAAGCCAGGGATTGTAAAAGACAACTCATCATCAGTGTGTGAATAAGAAGCAGTGCAGGCACAGGATGGGTGTGGTGCCCAACACATAGCTGGTCAGTTTAAGGTGTGATTGTGCAGGTACAACTGATCTGTCTCAAGGGATATACAGGTTTACACAAATACTAAAATGGCACCATTTATTTTGATTGATTAGTCAAAGGCTGAGAACCATAAGTGACAATTGAACACGAGTTCTGCATAAGTGTAAGACTTTCAGTAGGGCTCGTGGCTAGGCTGTAGTGTTTCAACAGAGAGCAGGAACCAAAATAAAGAGGAAGTGAACTTCTTGTACCCATCAGAAAGGGGGGAAACGCATATCAAAGTGCAGGTGTAGAAAATTTCAACATTTTTGCCCTCTGGGAACACTAGTAAAGCACACATTTGAGATACATTACTGGAGTGACGCAAAACTGCGTCATTCCTACACTGCTTGTTCTACCACATACCTTCCCCTTATCTCAGCTTCCTCCGGGACGGCAGGATCGCCGCTCAAGTCAAAAGTACAATAGTACAGCAGCTGTCAAAGACGCTCAAGTGCTTCACATCAGACGCAGTCTTCATACACACAAAGCTAGACAATCTAAAATATTCAGGATTATATTTAACTCTGTTAAAACTGATGTAAAACATAAAACCAAAAGGATGGAAAAGACTGAACCAAAGGTCAGTGACAAGCAAGTCTGTGTCCACGCCCCACATCATGACGCGTGTTAAATTGCCAAGATAGCAAGCTTTCTCACGGAAAAACACCAGGCAGACAGTCATGCGAGACACTTACAGTGAAAATGCTTAACATTTTCTCAGCTCTCACATGAATTAAAATTTGCCTATATTGTTATGATATTTGTACAGTTACTGACAAACCTTCAGTCAGACCTTCAGGATCACCATTTCACAAATACAGTTTTTAAGCAGCTGCTCCACGTTAGCTTTTGTTCAGCATCCTTAGAGTCAAACACAAACAGCTAAACCATTTTCCAGAAACAATTCAAGTTCGATGAGAAACAAATGCAAGTGGGTGACTGTGACCCAAGAGATTCTACTTCACAACATTTCAGCAACACCATAAAAAGGTAACTGTCCCTTGAGTGTACACCAAAATGGTAAGGACACATCTACAACTGAAGCAATGGCAGACAACTTACTCAACATTACTCCATGGTACAGAAACACCCCCCCCAACCCTGATGCGTTATGAAAGCACACTAATAAAGAGCAATCCCCTTTGTGCTCTGGCTCCCAGCTGCACGCATACATTCCTCCCACACACTTCATGCGTCACAGCCGACCTCCCATGATGGAGCGGGATTCCAGAGTGAGACATCGTAGCTCTTTGCACGGTAAACAAACACACACACGTTGCTGGGAGATCTCTGTTGTCTTGCTCAGTAGACATGACTAGTAGGACCAAGGCTGGGTAGATTGAGGGGAAGAATGCGGAGAGGGAGGCAGGGACATACTCATGCTCTGCATGATTCAGCTCAACCAGGTAGCATCCTTCTATCTATACAGAAACGGCTCCTCAACTAATAATCAGTCTATGACCCAGGGAAACCAAAAAAGAATGAAAACCCTACAGCTAAATTGTTAAGTTAAATGAAAAGTACTCTCTTTGAACTCTTCAACAAGTATAGCTAAGCCATGTAGTTGTAATAACTCAAAAAAAACATTCTCTAAAGGAGCTACATCTCAAAAGGTTTTTCTCCGTGAGCTGCTAAGGTATATGTAATTCACATGTTAAATTCCAGTAAAATTCAAAAATTGTGATGCAAAACAGTGACTGGAAATTTATTTAATTAAAAATGAATGACCCTAAAGTCACATTAAAACCACAAACTTGGTATACACAACCCCCTCTATGTTTTTCCTCTATTTGACACCTCTTTGGGGCAGCGTGTGGTTCAGTGGGCTAAGCCTGTGTGCCTGATATCACAAGGTCGCTGGTTCAAACCCAGCCTCAGCACATCTGCAGGCCCTTGAGCAAGGCCCTTAACCCCCAGCTCTCTGGGCGCCACTACTGGTGGCTGCCCTTCGCGGACAACTTACTCTACAAAAGAGCTTGTTGAGGGAGGTGTAAAGGCAATTTCCACAAGGGGAGCAATAAAGAATCGATTATTATATGTTATTATATGTTCAATGTCCAATCAATGCCATGACCAACACTGACAGAATGTTGGTTGAGCTTGTGCTGAAGTGGCTCAATAGAGCCCGGTTGAAATGGGTATATTAGTTGGACTTACCGGACCACAAGCACTATAAAGAACCCAAATTTTTGCAGCTTGAGCACCACAGATTCAACGAATCAAACATCTCAATCCAGATTTCACCTACTGCATAATCGTGATCATTGGCCACCTTCACTTGCTCATAAAACAGTCCTCATTCTATCTTTAAGCAGCAGAGCAAAATAAAAACAAGTTTTGCCTACAAAATACTATCTTCTGCCTCAAACTTGGCAGACTGGGCCAAACGGTGATACTGAATGACGAAGTCTACTCAACTCATTTCAAACATTTTTAAATTGTTACATTTTAACAATATCTCCTGATGACCTCAATCTACACCACAGACCAAGAACCACAAAAATGTTAGTCAGTGACTCAAGAGTTAAAATCTCTGAGCGAGATAATAAAGGTAAAATTAATGTAATGTGTCTAAAAGAAGGGTGGTTCTGCTGAATTAAAAAAATAAGAAAAACAGAATCGAGTAAAGAAATGCTAAAGAAAGTTTGCTGGTAGCTTTTAGTTTGCTGTAGGGAGATTTTTTCCATTGAAGCTCTCGTTCAAGAGTATACAGGGCACTGATTTCACACCAAACTATGACAAAGTAAAAGGAAATTCTCAGATGGAGAGCAAGACATCTACAGTATAAGGTGCCATACTGTCAATGAGCCAATGAGATCTTACCCACAGCCGGCGCATCATACTCGTCCCCCAACAGGATCTCCGGGGCTGAGTAAGCTAGGGAGCCACAACTGGTGGTCAGCTTCTTTCCAGGCTGGAATTTGTTGCTGAACCCAAAGTCAGTGAGCTTCACCAGGCCCTGCTTCTCAAAAAACACGACGTTCTCGGGCTTGAGGTCGCGATGCACCACGTGCAGCCGGTGGCAGTAGGAGATGGCGTGCACGATCTGAGCGAAGTACCTCTTGGCCAACTCTTCACTTAGGCCCTCCTCGTGCTTCATGATGTAGTCGAACATGTCGCCGCCATCACCCAGCTCCAGGATAAGGTACAGCTTTGTTTGCGTGTCGATGACCTCGTAGAGGCGCACAATGTTGGGGTGCTGCACCAGCTTCATGCAGCGCACCTCCTGGAAGAGGTGGCCGGTAGCGACCGAGTCCAGCTTGGTCTTGTCAATGACCTTGACTGCTACCTGCTCCCCCGTGAAGACGTGGCGCGCCAGTTTGACCACTGCAAAGTGGCCACGGCCCAGGGTCTTGTCCAGGTCATACAGCCCAGCAATCTTGCCATCATACCCGCGCTTGAAGCCTGCCATGGCCAGCTTTTGGTCCGTGGTCACAGGCAGATCAGTGGGTTGAGGGGTAGCTTATTTCCAAACGTCCGTGGCAAGCCGGGATCCCATGGTACCAGCTTTCAAGGAGCCCTGGGTTAAGGGGATGAGAATAAGAAGAAAAATGCATCACACAATATCCCCATGTTAAAGAAACAGTTGGTGAGATCACAAGCTAATCAAGCCTCACTACTTTGAATCCATGCCACTCCGCACACCTATAATTGACCATGAGAAACCAGCAGGGCAGAAGAAGATTTTAGATTTAAACATGAGTTCCTGATACAATGAGATGGCAAAGAGCATGTGGTCCAGTTTCCATGAATGATGGATACAACACGGCTCTTATGCTGTCGGCTACCCACTGATGCAAGATAAACTAGCAAATCCACTACAGCAGCAGGGAATTACTAAGGAAATAAGGCTTGCTTGGGGACGGAGACAAAGCACAATTATATGACACAGCTTTGGGAGGACAGAATGGGGGCTTTATTTAAGTTGGGACTGGAGACTTAACATGGTGATGGGGAATAAAAACAAGACACAGGGAAGCAAAACAATCACTGAGTCCTGGGAGGAGATACAAGTCTTAGGTCAATGGGGGAATAAAAGGTCTATTCAATGTAAACAGCAATAAAATTTAGGTGAAGCAAATGAATGGGCTTGTTACCAAAGCTTTTCATGTCCCTGGGGGAACCACACACAAACCACTCAATCCCCTTCTTATGACTCCATATTGATCATTGAAATCTGTTTGCATCCTGTTACAAAGACCGAATGCAATGCAAAAAACATAGACCTCAAAATACTGCAATTAACAATAAAGCCAAACAGGAATCAAACACGGCTTTCAGCTGGTGACACACTGAGGCATAAGCAGGAAGGTAACATGCTCACGCACTTCAGCTATGACAGGTATTCACGGCCGCACAAGAACCAACAATGACCCGCCTCAATGGAATCCTCACTTCAAGTCAGTTCAACTCAAGGAACCGGATGGAACCAGACTGCTCGACATCGCCCCACTACCGGGATGGGTTGTGCAACGGTAAGCTTGCGAGGCAAACGGCAGCTAGGGCTGCACTCCTACGACAAGCCCAAAAAGGAAAACCTTGTCTTTCTGTGGTACTTCAACTTGAGCTGAAGTCCCTCCAGCCCCCCCAAAGGGGATTAACAAAGAAAATTTGCAGCTTGCACTGTCAAGAATGGCTATGGTGAAGTCCACTGACTATCAGGATTACATATAAGGCCATTTTATCCACTAATACAGTTGGAAAATTACCTCTAACATGTAAAATGAAGTACTTTTCTGTTCGCAGTGAGAATCGACAATGAAACTTCCTCATATTTCACTTTCCTGTGACAAGTAAGCCTCATACAACATGTGCCGCTCTAGTAATGTTGTGTACAGATGACAAAACACACCTCAAACTATTAAATGTTGTATTATTTTACAAGGGTTACATGCAACTACGTCAACTATCTTAACACCTGGCAATAACCTTTTACATTTCATATCTGGTCATTATGTCCATTAAGGAAAACTACTTTGCTGTAACTAAGCATAATTCAGAGAACGACAAAGCCACTTGCATCACAAACAGTGAAAACGACCCTGCTGTTTGGTGGAAAGGATGTGAATCGATTGCCCTTTTTTAGCAAATAAGTAATAGCCATAGGGGCACTGCTGTCCGGTGAGGTAGATGACAAAAAGCCAATTTACCAAAAGGCTGAATTCAATCAAATCAAACATAGAGCTGTCAAACAAAAACACTAACGGGCAAGGGGTGCAGCTTTCAGAACAGCACATTATCTTGCAAGCTAGACACAGTCAGAAGCTCCTGGTGCTTTACTGAAAAAGGAATAGACATGGACTTTATAAGAGACTGGCAGACCAATGCTGCATAAGGGACTTTTTCTGCAGTCCAAAACAAAATCAAAGAAGACTTTCCCCAAAATTCACACTGTATGTGAACAAATTGTGACAGTACTGTATGTATATGGGGTTTAAGCATGTACATTGTCACAGGGCTCATCACCATTAAAACATGTGCCTTAATGTTTTGTTTTAAAGTCAAATTCAATATTATACAGTTACCAAAAAAAACAGCCAAAGCGACATGTCTTAAGACCTGGTATCAGACCAGACTGAAGTTTCCAGCACACGCTCTTGGTTATTTAACACAAAGTCCTACAAAAATGTAGAACTGGAGTGAAGCTGATAAATTATTTAAACAGCTGATAGAGTGGCCCAACTGGAGCTCAATTTTCACACGCAAAACCCAGGGCAAATAAAAACAATGTAAGAGGGACAGTGGTGATGAACAAATAGCAGGCTTCAGTCCCAAGCTGGCACTCAGTAAAGCTCTGGCTCATTGTGAGATACTTGTCTAAGTGTGTACACAAATAATTTCTGCACATCTTTGGATAATGTGTTCCTGATTAAGAATCCAGAAGACTGGGTGGGAATTCTTCATCAAAGAAGACCATTTCACGTTTGAAGTGCACATTTATTAAGAATGCCCCTGAACAGAATGTGGTGCACTGTGGGAAAAATAAGTAAATTAAATGGAGGGATCCTCATTCCAGGCAAGAGCCCAGTCATCACATTAAACTGCAACTTCAGCATTCCTTCAGCCCAGTATCAGCATCATAACCACTAATCTGGCTGATCCCACACTACAGCTTTTATGTGACAAGGTTCAAACTCAGGGTTCCAGAGAGGGAACACTCTTTGAGTTGCTCTTTCTTCCATATGCAACCTCATCTGGCTTCAAGGCTGGCCCCAGCTAGTGGGTATTTGTAGCGTACATATCCCTCGTTCAAAAAAGCTGTCCTGTGTCTGATTTCCTGTCAGTATCCAGTGACGGACTGGCTTCAAGTCAGGTCACTCTGACCCAAAGACAATAAGCTTTTATTAAAACTAAAAAGACAAGGGGGCATTCTTGTCTTTATACATCTACACTGACATTATAAGGCAGTGTCAGAATAATAAAACAAATACATAAGAGCCACTGATTTGTCTCAATGCTATAACAGGTGAAAAATAAAATGCTACCCCATTTTTAAATGCACACAAGCACGTCTGAGAATATCCACATCTCTCAACCAGGCCCAATATCTCTGGGGGACAACTGGGAAAGTTGTCCAGGGCCAGATGGAAGGTATCGTGCATCATGGGGTCGCAGTTGAAGTAACTTCATCCCAGAACTGGGAATTATGCAAGGCGGAGTGGCACTCAACTAACATACGATTACAACATGTGGATAATAATTTAGTGGCAGCCGGATCATTAAAAACGGCCGGAGCTGTCCTGGGAGTGGAGTTGGACTCTTTCCAGATAGTGGCAGAGAGGAGGGCATTATCCAAATTCCTTTCCATCATGGACAACATCTCCCATCCTTTGCACAGAGTGGTGGCTGAACACAGGAGCACCTTCAACCAGAGATTCAGAACGATTAAGTGCACTACTGAATGTCATCCTTTCTCCCAGTGCACTATACAACTCTCCTTTCTGCTGAACATTGAAATATACCAGGTACAGTTTCTGTTCCTATCATTTATATCCATACCATATGCACACTGTACAATCTGGTGAATAATATACATTGTACAGTCCTAGTTTTTTCCACAACATGTATATAATTTCCCCATGTGCACATCTGAGTGTATAATATGCTCCGCACTGTGTATAGTATAGTGTATAACACCTTACTGTGCATAATATAATATGTACAGTATTCTTTGCACAGCATATAATATAGCTCATAATAGACTTGCACATTTCGTCTTGTTGGAACAAGTGGTATATTATACAAACTATCTTCAGCCTATTTGCAGGACACATACCTGTTCAGTTTTAGTTTTAATTTATCTTAGCTACACAACTGCACATTGGGTAATTTACTATAGTTATTGGTTTTCTGCTTTTACTTTTTTATTGGTTACTGTGATATTTTTGTATGACTACTTGTACTTACGTTTTACTTTACATGCTCTCCCCTTTTTCTCCCTTAACTGGTTGGTGAGCAACTGCAACAAAAACCATTTCCCTCCGGGGATCAGTAAAGTTTTTCTGATTCTGACACTGATTCTGAATTAAGAGGTCAGTCAGAACAAAAAGCGGGACTGAAAGGACAGGGGCTGAAGTGATGTGACCTGCAGGTTTTTGGTGAGTTACTGAAATGTTACCTCACTAGCATAATATATTCAAAAATATGTAATAGACAGATCTCCATGGAAACTGCTTTATTTCCAACTTGCAAACAGACACGGGGTCCCTACATCCAGTTGGAGAAACTACAGCACTGAGAGCTGCATGACAGAATGGTTAAAGAGATACACCAGCAGTGAAAATCCAAAACATCCAGGACTACACTGCAAGATTCAGCACCAGCTAAACCGTGGATAGAGAAAAGGCTCCGGACACGGGACCGGAGGTGAACACTGATGACAATGTGGATGCAATGGGAATCAGCTGCCCGGGCGAACGGCTCCCCTTTCTGAGAAAACCACGGTTCACACGTCAGTCGGGCCGGGTGTCATATCCAGAGGACTCTATCACAGCAGTAAGACCCGAGAGCCTATTCCCGTTACCATGCGGTGCGTCGCAGAAAATGACAGGGCCGCTGGTTAAGCGGAAGGCGGCAGGGAGGATGCCGCTTCACGGCAGGGTGAAGGGAGGCGAGCAGGCCCGTCCGTCGCCTAGCCAACCTCCCAGCAGCCACCCTGCCTCCCGGGTTCCCAACCGCGCGAACAGGCGACCCCGTCCTTTATCCAGCCCGGCGCCGCGGCCGCGATCAGCCGCTGCGCTTCTCTGACACAAAGCCCGAACGGCCGCGATTATCCACCTCGGAAATCACACATCCGCGGCCAGTTAGCTTCATATTAATCCGTTAAAAGACACCAAGAAGTGCTTACTCACCCCTTCCCCCGGAAAACGAGCAGGACCGACCATTTACCGAGGCGAATACGAAGGTGGACGCAGGCAGCAGAGCAGCCGGCGGAAGACCCGCTCTCGGCGGTACACACTGTGCTCGAGCGCGCTCACTTGCGACGGTGTACACTGTGCTCAAGCGCGCTCGCTCTCGCGCTCTTCCTGTAAATACAGGCGCCGTCAGTCACTCCGCTACGCCGCCTACTGCGGCTCGCGAGAGCCCTCCCCGGCGCGACTGCGACGTCGCGGCGGGGAACCTATCAGCGCTCGACGGCCCGTTGGCACAGGCCAATGGGAGCGCGCCTCGGAAAGCACTGATCTTACGTTTCTTTCCAGCTTTCTTTGAAACTGGTTACTCTGTATGCTATTCTGTATTTTATTTGCATCTTGAAATGCATTTAGCAAGCGAATGTGGGTAATTGTGGGCATTCTTTGCAGCTTGAGTTATTAAAACACATAAATGAAAAACATAAACCTCTATAAAACACCAACAGCAAACACAACGAATATTTTTCTGGAGCTGCTGTTTTTAGTTGTATATAAACCGATGCTTGTATTTCGTTGTATGCGTAATCTTCCCAGTAATGGTCTAATCTGTACATTTGATAAATTGTATTTCATGCTGTGTTAGTACCCCACGATAAACCATACTGCTACGCTTGGCTCGCATGTACACATAGGCAGAGGTTCGTCTCTGCGGTGCTTGTGAAATGTATCATAAATTTGGAGACGGACAATGGCTGGTGGCATACTGTTGACAGAAGGTTAAATTAAACTTAAAACAGATGGTTACTGTAATACCGTCCTTTTATCTGTGCACTGCAGGGTAATGCTTTCGTTTTCGTTTATTACAATAAGATATGAGTATAACGTTGTGGCAGTGGCTGTGGCATGAAATATATTACCTGCATAGCTACATGGTGTTATAATGGAACGACAATAATTTTGTTTTGCTTTTTCTTAGTATTCTATATTGTGACCTTGGGCCCCTTGCTCAGGTTGGCACTTTTTTTGGGGGGGGGGGGGGATTTTGGGGCTCCTACAATGTGTGGGGCCTCTTGAATCTGTCATGCCATGCACCTCCTGATTGTCATAATTGAATAGATTCTACTAATATTCTCTAAATAAGTAGTTCGTGTTTTCGCACCTTTATGTTATAGACAAAATTTAATTATTCAGTATACATAGCAAGAAATAAGTATATGTGTAAATATTATTTGGCATTTTTATGAAATATTGTTAATTATTACTTGAAGTCACAAAATGGGTCATTCTCCATTTAAAGTAGGAATTGAGGTGCATATATTTTAAAAAATCAATTTAATAAATCACAAAAGTAAAACAACTTGTCTGTTAACATATATTATCACACGAGCTTAAATATATTTATAGTGCAAAGTTTGTCACTGATGTCATCACATCATGAGACATTCATTTTGTCCTCATTTTTTAATTTTCAATTTATATTTTAATGTGTAAGGGTGACATGCTGGTGCAGTGGTTAGCACTGTTGTCTCTCCTATCAGGACCTGAGATTAAATTTAATTAAATCTCATGTGTTGAAATTCGGTTATATTACTGGTGTGGAGCAAATTTGAAACATGATAAAAAATTGAAAAGTCAAACAAACCATAAGAGAAACATGTTATTTAATAATACATTAACTGTTTGAATGTACATGCTGACTTTTGGAGCTGTGTCTCATATTTAAAGTGTGTTTCTAAGCCCTGCAACCTCTGTGAAATGATTTCCCACTGCAAATGGAGAATGACCCAAATAGATATGGACCTAAACCTTAAATTCCTCTTATTTAACTCTGTTATTATGATACTTAAGTAGTACATTCGGTTGAAAAGGCAACACCTGAGTTTTCATGGTCTGTTTCTGGGTCTGTGAATAATTAATTACAGGATAAGTTTAGCTGATCTCTAGCATAACCATGCATTAATCCTCCTGTGAAAAGGCTCATAATCTTTATGGTTAGCTGGAATATTTTAATACCTTTATTTTAAAAATTAAATACGCCATTTTCAGTACGTGTTACTGAGTCTACTCCCCAAAAGTGTTATAAGTTACACATATTAATAATTATATACTGGGCTTAAAAGGGAAAAGCAAGTGTAAGTCACGTGCAGTACAGATGCAAATATATATACTGCATGGCAATAGTATTTGCTTTAATCATTTAAAGAGTTTTTAAATGAATTAAAAAGCCATTTTTACTGGCTAGTGAAAATGATATGGATGTATTTCGGAGTTAAAGGCTGGCAAGGTGATTCAGTGAGTAGCCCTGGTGCCTCTTACCTCCAGTGCTGGGTGTTTGACTCCCACCCTTCCCCTAGGTGTGAAGGTCCCACATGTTCTCATCACATCACCCAGGCTTCCTCCAGGTACCCCACTGTCCTGCCGCACTCCAGACACCTGCACCTAGGCTAATTAGCATCTCTAAATCGCCCGTGGTGTATGACTGTGTGTGGTATTGCTATCAAGGGTGTATTCCTGTCCTATGCTGCCTGGGATAGGCTACAGGCCCCTTGTGACCCTATTCAGTGCTAGGAAGATGGATAGATCGATAGCAATTTCAATATGTTTAAAATGTATTATTATTGAAAGATTTAACTAGTATTTTATAGAGAACTGAATGTGTAAACCAGAAGTAAACCTCTACTTAAATAATCCTCATAAATAATGTAATCTGATACATTTTTCCTGCAGGTGAATTTGGATTCACATTGTATTTACATGCATTTGGTAATGTTCGCTGTGTAAAAACCACAGAACATGTTGTAACCACATACGCCTTTTGATAATATAGTGTTTTCTTTACATATAACTCGGCCTTATTGCAAAGTTTGTTTTCCCAAACATCGCATGATTAGCTCCATTTCCAGTAAAAACTTATGTGAGCATGACCACTAGTGGCACCTTGTCGGTATTGCATGTACGCTCTTCTTTCCTATTCATGCGAATAACAAAAGTTCAAATAATCAACAATAAACAAATAAATACATAAATGAATCATTCAATAAATACAGAAAAATTCTGAACCATGATTAACCAACACGACGTTTTGCCAAATAGGTGCATTCAGCGTAACCTTTAGAGTATGGCTAATTAATCTGTAGTCTGCAAAATACAAACCTATACAGAGATGTACGCTGGGTTTCATAAATTATCATAGCCTACTGCTTCTGTTTCTCATTATTTAATGATGCATTTCCCAGGGAATTTCACTGCTTGGACATTTATTATTTGCATCTACTTAAAATCCTTTTCACCATAAAAGAATTTAAAAAGGCACTTGACGGAAGAATAATTAACAACCTCCAACATGGAAGCATGGGAAAAAAATGCAGAAATACCACAATATCTCCTGCACAAATATTTCCTGTGTACTTTTCTTAGCTTGTCCCTGTACTGGGGTGGTTTTGAAATAGCTATGTTACCACACTTAGACAGACATTGATAGAAATAATAGTTTTACACCAACGTGAGGATTCATGGGCATTGTTAGACCTATATAGAATGGGCTTCAGAACGTAACCCCCCCCAATTATCATACAGTTTTTAAACTATATATCCATATCCATAACAAATAGAAGCAAGACTACGAAATGAAATTTAAAATAATACTGTAAGTCTAGCATTATTTAATTAAAATTATGTTTAAGCTGCTCCAGGCGGAAGTTGCATGTCGCTGTTTGTTAGCGAGTATAGCGACGTTTATCCGCAGTTCAACAGAAAGAAGCGGCCAGGTAATTTCATTGTCAGAGATTGTGAGTAGGTGTCAATAACTGTTAATTGCTTACGTTTACTTATGTTTCCTTAAGTGAAAGGAAAGTGACGTTGTTTGCTATTTTAAAACTAATTTAGAGCACCAAGCAAGAAGAAAGAGTAGTTCTGAAACTACATATCTTTAGATATTATGTTTCACATTTAATATTATTAAATGCATTGTTAGATATATTTGCTAGTATGTTTTTAATTAACACAACCCCAACATGTAGGCTGTTAAAAAAAACTAATGGATTCATTTAGACTGTAATTTTAAAAAAGGTAGACATCTTAAAGACTAAAGAAACCAAAGGCAGGGAATCTTCCAGAGAAGCCAGTGAAATAAAGTGAGCCAGATAACAGCATAATTGCTGTACATGAGATAATAAAATTAAAGAAGCCTGTTTAGGTTTGGTGAACACATTACCTGCATTGTGAGGGAGCGTCACTTACGGCACTACGGCCATGTGGCCTGATTGCCTGAGGGTGATCTCGCTCGCAGGATCCTCACTGCTGAGGAACCGAGCGGTTAGACCGGGCCCAAAGGACGCCCACGTAACATCAGGGTGCGGCAGATAGATGGTAGCTTCCGGAAGGTGGGACTGGAGCGCGTGTCGGCCTGGGGGTCGCCATCTGGGATCGCGAGGTGTTTCGTCGTGTGGTGGGTCCATGCTTTTCCACTTCACCTGATACTATACTATATACTGCATATTAAATCCAGTTATTCCTTAAAGAAGATGGACTTTAAGATAACATTACAAATATGTGAAAATCTTATATTAAATTTTAAGCTATATTATGACTTAATTGTAACGCAGGATAATGCTCGGTATAACATAGTCTACCCATCTTTCACTCATCCAGTTCAGTGTGTTTTAAGTTTCCACCCGCAGTCCAAAGGCACCCCGGTACTGCCAATCTAAATTCGCCTTATTTTTTAGATCTGTTTCGTTATTTGAACTCAGGGTGGTAGTGTTGCATTGCATATGTTTTTCGTGGCACTTGTGAGAATCATGAACGATCCTATGAAAAGCACCCTAAAAACAAAATTTCTTTATAGAACTACATTTAATCTGGGGGAGCGGTGTGTGGCTGAGCAGATACGATATACCTGTCATCAGAATTCGGGGTCGAATCCCGGAGTCCTTAAGCAAGACCCTAAATCCCCAATTGTTCCTGGGATTGTCTGACTACCTCCTCAATTAACAAAAATATAAGTGTCTGCTAATTAAATATAATACGGCAAAAAAAATCCCACGTGTCTCCACGGTAGATGTCTATCATATGTCTCTATATGAGTTAATAATACAATGTTTTTTTCACGCCGTATATAAAGTCAATGTGCGATCTCCTCCAAGCCCACGTAACCTCGAAATGGATAAGTAGCTGGAAGATAGATAGGAATAATGTATATATGCAAATTAATTGTTTAAGCAGAAAAAGTTGGATGGCCTAAATATGTGGGAAGCCATACATTTTTATTCTAAACAGCATCTTTAATGTTGCATATGCTACTCTTCAGTGAAAAAGCTTGCGCCATCTGTCGAGTGCTAACAGCACACACTCATATGCGTTCAAACGCAACAGATCGCCCTTAAGGGTCATTTTGCGTTTGGGGAGCATATCACGGTGTGCGTGACGGTGTGATTTGCGACAGAAAGGGCTTGACGTCACCCTCCCACCCCCGGCCCAGGGAGACCCAAACTCTAAGGTTCGTCTGTGTAAATGCCAAATCACCGACGACAGTGCAGGGTTAGCTCACAAACAGGAGCAAATGGATACCATGCGTGCGACTTCTGGATGAGAGAAGGAGGAATTAAACCGCAGATCCACTCATAGTGTCGCTAAATCTCGCTGCTAAATCTCGCGAGATTTCGGCACGAGCCCTTTTCCATAATAGCGAGCTTGCTTGAACTCCGCAGAATCACAGGGAGCAGCGCCGGGACAATGGGCTCGCCGGGGTTGCCGTGCTATCAGATGGAGATGTGATGAATGAATGCGACGTTTCTTTCTCAGTTGAAGAGCCCCGGTGTCGCCGCGTGACCGACATCTCTGCCTTGCGTCTCCGCCTCGCGCCGAGCAGCGGTGCAGAGAACCTGGCGGCTGCTTGAATACAGATGTTACTTCGTGGAAAATCTGCGAGTATTTCGGCTTTTTCCATCCCACAGTAAGCAGATTCCAGGTAAGAGCGTTCCGCGTTCAATCATATCACTGATTCGCGGGTTGTTCGTTTGTACGCGTACTTTTGAGTCAAAGTTTCATACTGCCATGCAAGACTTGTTTTTTTTTTATTCACATGGAAATTGATAGCTGCTTCGACCCTTACGGGTAGCGCAGCTGCACGCTTTTGGACGGGCGATCAAGGGGCTTTTGTGTTGCTGTGACATGCATAAGTTTAATTAGCCTATTTGTCTTCGACGTCGAGCTCATGTGCGATGTTATTAATTATTCGAGACCTGTTGTACAAAACTATATATTAGTAAATCGTCGCATGCGGGCCAAATGTGCTTAGAAGCAGCGTGTGATTTACCCATTCCAGTAATTAACAATACTGGGTATCCCTTTAATAATCTTGCAAGTGGTTTATGTTTATGATCTCGCATTTTATGAAAGCTTCTCACAGCCTATTTATGTTTTATGGTTACCATTCTGTAATGATGATCCTGTGCAATGCTTTATAAAAATGTAGAGTTTTTTTTTCTTCTTGTGACGTGATTGTTGTAATGATGATATCGGTGATGATTCTTTCACATCTGGTGGTCTTGTGGTGAAACTTAGGAGATTCAGATCGGGGAAACGCAAAAACCCTCTAATCAATCAGATGAAGAGACACCAAACGTAAGATTAGTGTAGTAATGACTGCTCTGAATAATGTGAATATGCATGTGCAATATATAGTGTAGAGGTAATTATTCAATTTTGAAAACTCTGGGTTTTACTTTTGGGGTCGGGCGTGGGTGTGTAAAGTAATGCATTATTTTACCAAGCCACATAAAATCCCCAAATGCACACAATAATCACGGAACGCTTGTTCATTTCACAATTGAACTGAACTTTTGGCATGTGTGAAACTCTCATTTACCTGGTAAACAAAATGTGCCCTCCTGGAAGTTCCCGGCCAAGGTTGCCATGACTGTTTGGGTTATAGGATTGGGGTGTAGATTCCCCTGGACGCAGGGTGAGGAGGGGGGCCGTAAAACACGCCGAAAAGGCAGGCATGATGAGCGCCTCCGAATCCCCTCCCACGGTCTGATTTAGGGCAGGGATGCTCATCCTGCAGGGAGTAAGGAGGCGGGAATGCAGGCAGTCCAGTCTCTCCAGGAGCTGCATTAAAATGCATGAGAAGCGGCCCTCCGCTGCCGTCCCCTGGCGTGCTGCAAAGTAGCAAACCGAGGCGAAGCGCATGGTCGCTGAGGCACTGCGCTCGACTTCCAGAGCCTCCAGAAGGGCATAACAGTGTCAGCCGATGCCCCACATCCAGCCAGAGAAGTGAGTGGATGGGCTGCCGGAGAAAATCTCCTAAGGGACAAACGGTCCCTCGTATCCTCCGTGACCTCTGCTGTTCCTGGGACAGGGCTGCCGGCTGCCGGAGGGACCGTGCTGGCCCAGCTGTCTACCACTCAGAGCCCCCTGTGTTTAAAGGTACTTCCTTCCTGGGGGAGGGGGGGTGATTAATCTTGCTTCCTAGCATTGACACATTTGCAGTGGAAGTAGTACAAAAAATCAGAATTTGTTTATGCTTTATGTGATGAAATAGGTGAGAATTTGGTACTGGTAACTCAAATTTTTCTTATCTAGTTTAGCCTTTAAACCATGACGGCAAGGTGATAAAAGGTAATCAATAAGTAAACATGTTTCTAACATGCCAGTGATTTGGGTTTAAGTGTCGCCCTCCACATTTTCTGTACTTAATAGTTAATTGATAATTGAAAATCGGGTTGCTTTTGTCTGATGTCTGGCCCAGTCGGCTGTGTCCCAGTTAAGTTTCTCCCCCCTGTAATGACCCAGACAGATGCTTTTGTTCTGCGGGACAGTGATTTGTGGCCATGACCAGGACAGTGTGTCAAAACCCAAAACGAATAGCTGCTAAGAAGTCGCATGGACTCTCATGGTGTTTAATCCTGGTCAGTGCCAGTCCTATAATTAAAGAAATCATAGACCTTCTACCTGATGGGGACAAGGGCACTGACCGCACATTCCTCAATGTCACGGACCCTCTGTCAGGCCCCTCAGCCGGGGGAGCTGCTGTCTGCTCTGCTCTCTGTGCTCCATCTCTTCCCACCGCAATCCTCCCCCATCCCCTTGGTTCTTCCTTCAGTTAATGCCTCTTTTTCTATTATCTCCAAGCTTTCACTGTAACGGGGCTTTTGGGAATATTGAGGAAGGGGTTGGAGTGGGTGGGTAAGCTTGGAACCATGGAGGACTCCAGGTTGTATGTGTGTGTGTGGGGGGGGGGGGGTTTGGGGGGTGCGCATGAGGCGGTTGTAATGTGATTATGTGATTATGATGCTGATGATGTTGTTTTTCCAGGGGTCTCTGGACTGCCCAGGAGGGGGAGTGTTCCGTGGTGATATTGCAGTGAACTTGGCTCCTACGAAACGTCCACCGCGTGCCTGATTGGTAAGAGTTTCCCTTAAATTCGTCCATCTGCCTCCTATGTACCCGCTTGTCCAATACAGTGCCCTAAATGTAAGCAGTGACCCTACAGTACCAGTTAAAAGTTTGGACACACCTACCCATAGGTTAATTTTCTGTATGTTTTAGAATAATTATAAAGACATCCAAACTATAAAATTATATATTTTGGAATTATACACTGACCGAAAAAGTATTAAACCAAAAAACTTGGCGGGGGGTAGCAGCTCTGTGGGTTGGGACTCAGAAGGTTGCTGGTTCCAATCCCTGGGTCAGCATAGTGATGCAACCATTGGGCCCTGGAACCCAGGCCCTTAACCCCAATTGCCCCAGGGACTGGCTGACTGTACCGTCTCCTCTATGCCAGTCTCCTGAGGTGGCCTCCTAGGATGCGTTTACAGCTGTCCTGGAGGAGGTCCCACATATATGCTGAGCACTCATTGGCTGCTTTTCCTTCATTGTCAAACTCCTCCAGAACTATTTCTGCTGTGTTTAGGTCAGGTGGCCGGGTCATGTAATACGACATGATGACTCTCCCTTGTGGCTTGGTGTGTCCAAATGTTTTACTGGTACTGTAAGTCAGCTCCCTTTTCTGGAAACAGTGTGTGTCTAACTTTAGTGGTTACCAACAATGGTGTCACTGCTGTGACCACCCCCCCATGCTCACACACAGCTTATGCTGACTCAGCAGTCCTGGTTGGTCTTTTACAGTAATACATCTGTTGCTTACAGTTTGTTTTGCTCAGCTTGTTAAAGGCCACATACATTGAGGAACAAAGTCATCTTGGTTCTTCGGGTCAGTAAAAAAAAATTTAATGTCTTTTTTTTTTTTTTTTGTATTTTTACCCCACTGGTAAATCCTGTTGGTCTGGCTTTAATGGGATTCTCATCAGGCAGAAATGAAAGGAATTAAGTTTATCAGAACAGCTGTAAAAACAATGGGAATTATACTTAGAAAGAAAATCAGTTGATAATTATAATGGGGAAAAAAATGAGGATGCCTGTGCAGTAATGTTTAAACTTGAAATTTATGAATCATTTAAATAAAAAAATGTTGCAAAAATGTCAAACATTAAAGCACAGTAAGATACTGACTGAAACGTGAACATGTGACTCGTAAAGATGCTGTTGTGTTTTTCTCCTCTGTAATCGCTTAAGGTTAATAAAGACATTAAAACTAGCCAATGAATGAGGCCAAACGGCCATGCTTGTGTTTATTGGAGCATAAAATGTGAGCCACGTTCTTTTTGAAATAAAGTTGTATTGTACTTTTTTGCTTTAGGAATGGCTCTACTGTCCTCTCGGTTTGGCCGTCGGATCTCCCCCGAAGCCAGGCTTAAGCCAGCGTCCCAGTGGGGCTTCTGCACATTTGGGTTCTAGCGCCACCCCCCCTCCCCACCTGGATCCTAATTGTGAGCAGAACGGTTTCAGAGCTTGGAGGCTTTTGCCTGTGTGGCATCGTATCACCAAGCTTCATGTGGTTATCAGGAAGTGTTGGTGCGTTATGGGGAGTGAGCAGCCGGGTGCGTTATGGTTATGGGGAGTGAGCAGCCGGGTGCCTTATGGTTATGGGGAGTGAGCAGCCGGGTGCCTTATGGTTTTGGAGAGTGAGCAGTCGGGTGCGTTATGGTTTTGGAGAGTGAGTAGCCGGGTGCGTTATGGTTTTGGAGAGTGAGCAGCCGGGTGCGTTATGAAGAGAGGCTCCAGTGTGTTATGGAGAGAGGTGCTGGTGTTAGCACTGGTGTGTTATTGAGAATCACTGGTGTGATACAGTGAGAGAGGCGCCGGCGCACCATAGAGAATCACCGGTGTGTTACTGTCATGCTTCCATTGTCCGTGTGTCCGGTTTTGTATAAACAAAAAAAAAAAAACACTGTCCACACATATTTCCCCCTGCCGCATGCATGCCGGGAGCCTCTCCTGATCTTGTCAAGCAGCAGTTGGATGCCATTTGCTTGGCCTTTATTTGGCATGCGGGAATTTTGCTCCCCTTGGGTCATTCCACCTCCTCACGGTGTCTGAATCGGCCTGGGTCCTCTGTGTCCCAGGGGAAACTGTCAGCCCTGCGCTGCTGTGTTTGATGCCGAGATCTGAGCTCCAGGTTCGTCTGCTGCTCGTCTGCAGTTGTCGGTAATGAAAGGCGGGAGGGTGAATGCCTGAAGGCCCTGGGTGGAAACCATTAGCTTTTGGCCCATTCCCAGTAAGACTATGGCAATGGGAGCCAATGGGGTCCGTCTCTGACCAAGTCATCACCTCGCTGGTGGCTGCGATTAGACTGTGTTTCGTGGGGCAGGCGAGGAACGAGTCGGCCTGTCAGCCTGACGTCACGCAGTTCCCGCGGGATCTGGGGCTGATTCAGAGATGAGAGGGGTGCAAGTGCACCTCGTGTTAATACGGTACGGTTCAAATCTAGCCTGTCACAGTAATAAATCAAATATGCAATAGCTATAAACACACCATCTAAACACACTCAAAACATCTTCTGTTATTATTAGCCAATAGTCAGTCATAGTTATAATTGTTATTTGCTCTGCTGCAAATTTATAAGCTCAATCTCACCCCCCGTTTCGACTGCTAGCCTTAAGTAACAACCCCTGACCATAGAAAGTGAGATTTAGATATTTGGATTTTTATTATCCTGTAGTCTCTATGTGCCTCAGCAAAATTGCTGAAACAGAAACAGATGAACATCTAAAAAGAGTTATTTGTGTACATCAGCGTGTTCCAAAAAGTGTCTAAATAGCACTTATTCAGCAGAAGCCCTTCAATATCTAATGGGTATGTTTAGCTCTCTGGGGGCTGTTGGATTGTTTGTTTATTGGCAGCATGATGCCTGAGGCAGCTGCTCTTAAATCGCTGGTCCGTGTTGGTTATTCTGGAGGAGGGTTGGAGGTTCGAGTCCATCCAGTGCACTGAATGGCTGCAAGTACAGTTCTGTACATGAAACAGTGGAAACGTGGAAATATTTGGAGGTACGGCTTTAATAGTATCTACACATATACAGCTGTCAGGGTTTGGCTTTAATGTGATCCTGCATTTTTCATATCCCACGCTCCATTCTCCATTCCATGTGTAGGGGGAACACGGTGTAAAAACAGAATCCGCTCCCGTGTGCCATTCCGGATAAAACGTAGCATGGCGTATTGTCAGCGCCTGACAGGAGGCCGCAGGAAATCCATTAAGTGCATGAATGCAAAGGTGTGTGAGCCCTTTTGTTGCGACACTAAATGCAAAATAAGATTATTCAGGGGACAGGGAGCTTCTGAGAGCAGGCACTTCTGGGGCATTAACCCTGGGCTGCGTCACCCCTGTGCCACCTCCAGGGGGAGTTAGAGAGTGGTGGTGGGGGGTGGCTGGGTGTGAGTGGAGTAAAAGCAGTGGGTGGGGGTTTTGGCACAGCCCCCAACCCAGGACAGGTGGGCCACCTGAAAAAGACAAAGGGGAACGTTGGGGGACCGGAGAGGTGGGAGGGAGAACTATCACCTGGGGGTGTGGGGGCTCGTGGGGAGCTGCCCCCCCAGAACTGAAGCTGTGTGCTGGCATGGCGTGCATATGGGTCAGTTCCGGGTTGAGCCCCGGGAGATTCGGGGAAACCCTTGGTTCTTGTTTGTGCTGCACATGTTGTGGTGATCTAGAGGGGAATTGGAGTTTGAAGCCTATTCTTGAGTTTGTGATGGACATACTAAGAGGTAATGTTCTTCCCGTGTAACATGTGCTTCAATTTATTACATTGATTACAATTCTGTTTCCAAAAATGTTGGGACGCTGTGCAGAAACAGAATAGAATGATTTACAAAACATATGGACACAAACATAATTGAAAATAGAACAGAGGCAACATTTCAAATGTTGAATTTTATTGTCTTATGAAAAATGTTTGCTCAATTTGAATTTAGTGCCAGCAACACGTTTCAAAAAAGTTGGGACAGGGGCAAGTAAAAGATTCGAAAAATTGTGTGATGCTAAAGCACAACACCTCACAGAATATTTCAAAAAACCTTTTTGGAAATGGGATTGTACATGATTATAAAAGCTCAGAAGTGGTTCTCTGTGTGTGTATAGCATTAACAGTATATATCTGTAATAAGCACTGGTCTCTGTCGGTGGGTAACATTAACAGTATATATCTGTAATAAGCACTGGTCTCTGTCGGTGGGTAGCATTAACAGTATATGTCTGTAATAAGCACTGGTCTCTGTCGGTGGGTAGCATTTGCTTAATTACCTTCAGCTTTCAAAAGCGACAAAAAGTGGTGATATGAGCCTGTGTTATGGAGCCAGCACGGCACATATAGCAGCAGCTGCTGCTGTTAAATAGCCTTCAGAACCTCACAATGGCCTGTTATTTTCTCCCTTGAGTGACATGACTGTCCCCATGAACCTGAGATGCAGTTTATGCTCTGAAGCTTTTCGGTATGTATTATGACAATGACAAACATGCACTTCAAATGAATCATTTACGAAGAGACTGTACTTATCCAGGTCCACTTCGACATGAAAAGATGCAAATTAGGCGCTGCTCCTCTACATATGACACGGCAGCGTTCTGTGTCACACTGTGTCTGGGTTCTTCTTTTTTTCTTTTTTCCCCTAGTGCTGATGAACCAGGAGAGCCACCGATGTGGGTAATGCTGAAATGTATCGACTGATCTTAAAGGCTAGAGGATAATTTCAGTCCTGTGGAGTGAATTTAAATGAGTATGGTGTAATTACAGAGCCTGTCTGCCTTGGATAATCCTGGGGCAGTTGTTGAGTAGCCCTCCCTCTCCTAAGACCTCCTAACATCATTGCACGTGGCAGTTTAGGCCGCCGTCCAGTGTTCATGGGTTCAGACCTGTTCCTGAGGGATGTGTGTTCCGTAGCATGTGGATCAGGTCTTGAGTTTTCCCTCTGAGACTGAGACGCTTTGAAGATCCACTCGCTCCGCTCGCTCCTGATGCCTCCTGATGTGTCTGTCATCTTACTGGTGGTTCAATGCATCCCGAATATATTGATAATGAAGTGTGTCGTTACACCAGTGTCGAGTGAAGTGGCCTCGCCGTTGTTGGTTACCCGTTTCTGTTGTCCTGTGGAGAGATGCTAAATGAGCTTGTGCCCTCTCTGCCCACCCATGGCTACCGTGGGCGAGGCAGCTGACCCACTCCCCGGGGTTATGAGAGCAGCACCTGAGTGCGGGGACGTGGCCCGGCTGTGATGTTTGCCCCCAGCTGCAGGATGAACCTTCCGGCAGTCCTGAACGGCCTGCTGGTCTCGGTGGTGGCGGCAGTCCTGTGGAAGTACGCCAGCCTGCGCGAGCACGCCTCCCTTCTGGAGGAGGAGCTGCTGCTGACGCGGCAGTCGCAGGAGCTGTCTCAGGCGCGCGTCGACTATCACGCCGCCCTGCTGGCGCTGCAGGAGCAGGGCACGCGCATGGTCTGCACGGGCAAGATGCACACCGACCGCATCTGCCGCTTCGACTACCTGTGCTACTGCGCCGAGGCCGAGGAGTTTGTCTTTTTCCACAGCAACGCCTCGGTCATGCTCCCAAACCTGGGCCCCCGCCGCTTCCAGCCTGCCCTCCTGGACCTCTCTTCCGTGGAGGACCACAATACCCAATACTTCAACTTCATGGAGTTGCCAGCTGCTGCCCTCAAGTTCATGCCCAAGCCCGTGTTTGTGCCTGACGTCACGCTCATTCTCAACCGCTTCAACCCCGACAACCTCATGCACATCTTCCATGACGACCTGCTGCCTATATTCTACACCATGAGCCAGTACTCGGACCTGGACAGCGAGGCCCGCCTCGTCTTCATGGAGGGCTGGGCGGAAGGGCCCTACTTCGATCTCTACCGACTGCTCAGCAGCAAACAGCCGCTCCTCAAGGAGCAGCTGAGAAACTTTGGCAAGCTGCTGTGCTTCACAAAGTCGTATGTGGGCTTGTCCAAGATGACCACCTGGTACCAGTATGGCTTTGTCCAGCCACAGGGCGCCAAGGCCAACATATTGGTCTCGGGGAACGAGATAAGACAGTTTGCGACTTTTCTCATGGAGAAGCTCAACATCACTAGGGAGGAGACCCCGGCAAGCGAGGAGTACATTGTGGTCTTCAGCCGTACTGCTAACAGGCTCATCCTGAATGAGGCGGAGCTGCTCCTGGCACTAGCTCAGGAGTTTCAGATGAAGACCGTCACAGTGTCCCTCGAGGAGCATTCCCTCTCGGAGGTGATCCGTGTCATTGCCGGTGCCTCCATGTTGGTCAGCATGCACGGAGCACAGTTGGTCACCTCCCTCTTTCTCCCACGTGGTGCTGCTGTAGTAGAGCTCTTCCCCTACGCTGTCAACCCAGAGCACTATACCCCTTACAAAACCTTGGCCTCCTTACCAGGAATGGACCTCCAGTATGTAGCTTGGAGAAACACCATTGAGGAAAATTCCATGACCCATCCAGAGCGACCTTGGGAACAGGGTGGGATCGCCCACCTGGAACCAGAGGAGCAGGTGCGAATTCTCCAGAGCAAGGAGGTACCACGTCATCTGTGTTGTCGCAACCCCGAATGGCTCTTCCGGATCTACCAAGACACAAATGTGAATATTCCTTCTCTGCTGGATGTCCTGAGGCAGATTCTGAAGTCCAAGCCCAACTTGAAGAGAACCAAGACAGGCAGCGTTGTGCACCCAGGACGGGTTCGGGAGCCCAAGTGCCAGACTTCAGTGCAGGCCACCAACGAGGCTAAGATGATGGTGTCGTGGCAAATTCCCTGGAACCTAAAGTATCTTAAGGTCAAGGATGTCAAGTATGAAGTGTGGATTCAGGAGCAAGGCGAGAACACCTACATGCCTTATATCCTACCACACCAGAACTACACCTTCTCTGAGAACATTAAGCCCTTCACCACGTACCTGGTCTGGGTGCGCTGCATCTTCAACAAGAACCTTCTGGGCCCATTTGCAGATGTCCTGCTGTGCAAAACCTGATACCAACTGGTTGGCAAAATCATAGAGGGCCACCAGGTGTCCTGATGCAGACAGTCGGATGATGTGGCAGGAGGGGATTCGCTGTGGCAAGGGAATGACAATTTCGTCACATTGGTTCGCAGTCAGACTGGGCAGAAACGAGGTCCCCCTTTTGGAAGCACTAAGATTTAATACCTGTGACACTGAATGGTCACCTTCCATAGGGCCCAGAAAGTGTGAAGCCCTGAAATGAAGAGTTTTAAGCAGATATTAGATATTATGAAGCTATGAACAGAAGAGTCTATTTATGATTTGATGTCATTCTGCTGCAGAACAGGACATAAATGTTAGCACAACTGTAAGTCTACATCTAGGATGCACAGATTGTCTTACACTGGTATTTATAAATGAAAGGAATAATATTAGTTATTTAATTTTTATTTATTGCTCAGAGATTGATTTGTATTTGGGTTGTTTGTGTTTAGTATAATGTAGGTTTACTGCAAATTAATACCCATTTCACATTTTTTGCCATAAATTATTAAACTATCAAATAGATTAGAATCAGGTAAACTAGAATTAGACATGGTTGGATCTTCTCCACTCTGGAAGTGTTGCTTGGTTATTCTGACTTTTTCATTAGTTGATGTTTTGTTTCAGGGACTTTGTATAAAGTCCGTGCATATGGGGTGGGGAAGACAGAACGTTTTTACGACGTGTTGATTTTTAATGTTTGTTTAGAGTATGAGTTGATTGTAATTGTAAGGATCTGGATCTTGTCTGTGTTTCTTGGGACATTTTGGTAGCATAGATATTGTGCAGGAGAAGTTAAATTGTAGTCTCCAAACATATTTTTTCCTCCATCTGTTGGACTGGACATTTGCTTCATACAGAGTAAGCTATTCTTCATGGAGGAGATCATGGTAAAATACTCAGCTTTTTTTTTGTTTTTTTTTGTTAACGTCTGACTGAACATGTAAAAAAAAAAAATCCATTAATTCTCTATTTTGCCTTGAGAGTGTTCATTCTGGGATGGAGAGGGAGAGGGGAGGCATATTCAGAATAGCTCTTGATATTCTGCTACCCCCGGGATTCAGTGATATATAAAATGTCCATTTGTATACAGTGAACATGTTACTATATATTTGTAATTATATGAATTATATTTAACATGTAGTATGACCCTATTAAAGCCCAGCACAGTCGGTATATACTGCTAGATTTTAAAAGCTTCTTATATTTTGTGTTTTTATCATCTGAAAAAGTTCTGTCTTATTTCCTTATCTGATACTTTCTTTTGGGATACATGTAAATGCACCATTTTGTTACCTAAGACTCCAGCTGAACCTGTAGTCAAAGACCTCTCCTTCACTTTTTGTCCTTGATTTAACAAAGGATTTGGGATATCTAAAAAACAAACAATCAAACATGTTTTTTTTTGTTTTGTTTAATTGCATACAGCTGTATTCTTCACTAACATATGCCAGATTGGACATCATGTAGGTACTGTAAGCACGTCTGCTCTTAGCCCCTTCACTGTTTCGGGCTGTTCTGTGTGCTTCCAGCTGTCAGCTGTTACCTGTAGACGTTCATCATGTGATCACATATTAGTAGTGGGGGATGTGTTGTTTTGCTCAGTTTTCTTATGGGGGTCCTTGGTTTAAGAGCAGTTGGACGACCCCTGGTCCAGTAGATACTCCTGATAATTGGAGATAAATAAGACGGCTACAAGGTGACTAAGATGTACGGAGATTACGCCTAAGGGGTTTGTGGTGGGAGTGGCTCTCCAGAACTCCTGACTGCCTCCATGTGGACTGAGAGATGTACTGTCAGGTCAGCGCCACAACTTCAGGAAAATATCAATAATATTTATAGTTGAAAAAGCAGCTGCTCGCTTCAGGCAGTGGAATGATGACGGATTAGTGGACCGAGCAGGGCACCGTAGAGGCCGGGCACCGTAGAGGCCGGGCACCGTAGAGGCCGGGCACCGTAGAGGCCGGGCACCGTAGAGGCCGGGCACCGTAGAGGCTGGCTGCAGCCACTCACTTTTTGTCTGTGGACTCAGAATATTGAAGAAGTAAGAATGGGAGGCTCTTAAAATGTAGGTAAGTAGGTGCAATGTAGATAATCCATGTCAGGGAGGACACTTTGAGCTGGGACAGCATTTGTAAAATAACATTTCAATTAAAAGGACCTGGTTTTCACTTATGCACTGATGTCTGCTGTAGTCATGCACGTGTCACTAATGTTAATGTGACACAGCCGCATAAGTAGTGGACGTGGTCTGGTGCAGAAAAGCCCAAAATCACAAAAGATCTGCAGAAAAGAGAAGGGAGGGTCTCTCTGCCTCAGCTGGGCATTTTCATGTGTGACTGTGACTTGGCAACATTGGAACAAAACTAATCTAAATTATGCACACATTTACATAGTTCCCCGAAAAATGACTGGCTTAAGAGAGTCAACAACATGGGCTTATCGCATTTGAGCCGGCTAATCATATTCCTAAGGCAAATCCTCAGGACGAGATGCTCGGATTCATCCCACTCAAACGAAGGGCTTTGAACTCGCTCTGTCCCCGTAAACGTCCTCACGGATTATCGTTAAGTTTTTGCGACTGCTCCAGTCTTTGTGCCGGAGAAACTGCCAGCGCTGTGTCCGGTTCGGGGCATCGTTGTGGTGTGCACTGTCAAAGTGACCCATGAATGAAAAACAGATTTAAATCAAAGGCTATTTACAGCAAACAAGAAACCAAAGAAGGAAAACCGCCAAAATTCATAACTGCAGACTTTCACAAGGTCATCTATAATAAGAAATGCTTTTAACATTGTAGAGATGTTACTCGTGTGCTTTCTATTGTGATCTCCTGGGGGCTGGCTTTCATATGGGGGGGGGGAGCATTTTTTGTCGGCTTTGCTCTAAAGAAAAGACCTGCTTCCACACCGGCAAGACGTGAAGACTGGACGGCACAAGGCCCGACGGCTCGCCCTTCAGGGAGGGGGGGCTACACCACTACCCTCTGTCCCAGTTAAGTTAATGTGTCCAAAGACGAGTCAAACAAGCATCTGGGGTCCTTGCGGATTTCCGGTATCAGCCTGCGAAACTCCTGCCCCTCCCCCCCCCCCCCCCCCCCCCCCCCCCCCCAACCCCACCGCCTGTCTCACGTCTTCATATGGAAAGCACATGAACAGTGCGGAAATGGTTTCGTATCTCCGTAAGTATAACTTAGGATTTTAATGGCGTATCGTTGAGCGCGGCACATTAACGTTGCATCAGAAAGATGTGAAAACGTCCTAAGAGCCACTCGGTGTTTAGAAGAGGATCTTTTTGTAACTCAATGGTTTTGTCATCCCTCTGGAAATGCACCATCCATATGGCCAGTTAAAGGACAGTATGTTTCTTTGAACAAGAAAAGCTTATAGCAACATAAGGAGAGCAGAAACACAGAACCAGTCTCTTCGGGGGTGAAACGGCACCTAGTGAATTGGCTGCATTTTTCATGTCAAGAACAAATTCAAACTAATGTACAGCTACGGCTGCCTGACAGATCTCTGCCCTCCTGTGATGAGAATCCTCATGCGTGACCCCCTCTAGTCCCTACTTTAGGCTGTGTTATGAATAAATGTAGGAAACATTTATTGAGCAGTGCATATTTACATGATAGCCGTGTTGTCCTCCCTGCACTGAACATGAAGTGTTTCTCAGTAACAGCTTTTGACAGTGAGCACAACACCTTATTTAAATCTTCGCCCTTCAAGAAACCTGACTATTAAAATTCTGCTCTAGCGTCGGGGTTTTTCGGCCATTTCTGGGAATGATTTGGGGGTCGGGGGCATGACTGGAAATGTGAGTCCTGACGCAGGTGATGGTACGCTTCTTAATGTTACGGCCCCTGGGACATGCCAGGCCTTGGGACGAGCGTGACTCCCTTGGAGACGTGTCGGAGCAAGAGGGAGAGAATTCCATTCATTCGGCGACCGTGGAACCCTGTGAAGGTGGTCAGCCTTGTCACGATCTCACTCACCACACCGCAGCCTCCCTTCATCCCAGGGAGCGGAGCTGGGGACGACAGCATTAATAAAATATGTGCGCTGTACCGTTACCTCGTTGTTCTGTGCAAAGTCAGTGTAGGTCAGCATCTCCCGCGGGCTTTGGGACTGACACAGACTGTAGATACATCTGGCACTGATGCCCCCGCCTTCTGTAAAGTCATTATTCACTCTAACCCTTCAACCTCGACTGTCAGACATAAGGTATACTTTCATGCTCACTGTCATCCATGGGGTTTAAAAACAGCCATTAGAGGATGGATATAATTAACTATATTGTGGGAAATCTGGGAATATAATTATGCTGATTTTAAATGATCAATTATTACTATAATAATTATTCAATTGTCATGTCATTTCACAACAAGCAAAAGTACTTGCGTAGCAGAGATTTTGTCAAATGTCCAATTAAGTATTGGTCTCATTAATGCTTTCTGCCACTTTCTCATGTTTATACATGTTCTCTTTTTTAAAACTAATAAACATTAATAAATGCATTGTTGTAACACTGTTGTGATGTAGCTGCACAGCCCCACATGGTGGTAGTATTTGAAACTACATAATATACAACCCACTTCAAATCCAGCAATCATTCCCTTAATTGCATATCTGTAAAAGTCAGTAGCTCATTGTCTTTGCATCATACTACCACAGATATGTCTAACTGATTTTCCATTGTGCAATGGTTGATATTTTTCATGGCTCAGTCTGAAGGCATTCCATCTTAGGTTCAACCTCATATGTACATCTCTGCATTTGGAAAAATCTAGTAGTAAAACACGTTTAAAAAATCCAGTACCAAAAGCTGTTCACAGCAAGACAAAACTTGTTAAAATAATCATTAAGTCAATGTCTGCCATTAGTCATTTTTGATTCGTTAACATGGATCATAAGAAAGAGAATAAATGCTTCATTGTATTTCTTTATATTTTTATATATATTTTCAATATTATTAATTATATACGACCCCTACTACATATTGATTGATGACTTTTAGTATACTTCACATCCATATAATTCACATTTTAAAATATGTTTGTGTGAAGATCTCTAACACTGCTCTTCTTTACATGTATATAAAGGAGGAGCAGGTGCTGTTAAACTTACCAACGATTTACTAAGCATTAAAATTGCTGTCTAAGAGAGCCTCAAAGTGCGGGCATTTAACTCTCTTCACATTTTCTTTCTGATAGATCTGACATACCCATGTGTACCTTTCCCACAGCCATATGTATCGCAGTGCCAGATAAACAGCCATTAAAATGGATGATAGATTCATTTCTGAAATGTTGCCTTTTCAAAAATGCGGCTTATGCCTGGAAACACTAAATTGCATGTAGTGTTGACCTTGACCTGCGTACATTCATTTTTCCACGAGCATTTACTTACTCTGGGTCCCAGTGAGCATCCAGTCAACAGCCCAGAGCCCTGATTGACGTGCAGACCAATAACAATGCGTAACATCCAGAGTATATGGAAGCTCAGCACGCATACAGCCAGCCCAGGGATCGACACTCCAAGAGGCTCATTAACTCTCTGTATTACTAAAGGTCTTTATTTTAAAGGTGACTAATTTCTTTAGCATTCTTGTAATAAATCCTATTGCCAAAAGAGAGAACAGTTTAATGCTTTAATGAGCCCTGTTGGTGCGAAACCTATACTGGAATTCTGTGAATAATACTGCACTAGGGTATACACCAGTTATGTCATGTTGAGATGTAACGGGCGTTTTTTTCCTGTTTATATAAGAACCCCACTCCCTTCTTTCCGGGATTAAAAATGAATGCTGTTTGAACCAATGATTGTGTTTTTGTATTCATTACATTGTGGGGACTAGATTTCCCCATAATGTGATGATAACCATTTTATTATGTGGGAGCATTTTTTCGGTCCCCACACAGATAACCTCAATTTTATAAAAATCTGTGACTGCAATCAAAAAAACTAAAAATGCCAATGGTCTTGTATTTTGTTTGGTATCATTACTAGTCTGCCTGAAGGGTAGAAGCTAAAACCCTAGATTCCTTCAAATCTGACCATGACAAGATCCTGCCAATTAAATAATTAGTTTATTTCCCTCCAGGCAAGCGTAATAGGCTTAATGGCCTGCTCTTGTTTGTGTCTTTATGTTGTTTTATTACTTATGGTTAAGGTTAGGGCTGGGTAGGGCTTAAGATTGTCACAGTTGGGATTAGGTAGTAATGTAGAGTCCCCACAAAGATATAATTATAAATCTGTGTGTGTGTGTGTGTGTGCGTGTGTGTGTGTGTGTAGAGTGGCATCCCATCCTTGTGCACTACGCTGCCTGGGATGGACTCTCCATAACCCTAAATAGGGTAAATGCTTAGAAGATGGATGGATGTTTGGACCAGCATGGATTTATAAACAAACAAAATGAGACAGAACTCAGCAATGGACGAGTGTGGCTGTGCTCAGAGGAATTACATGTGACAGCCCGTCTGTCAGCAGATACAGCCACACGGAGATCAAGTGAGTCGCTGTCTCTGAGGCATCGTTACTAGTAATTATCCTGTAAGTGCTTATCCTGAGTCTTTTCTGAAAGTAACACATTCAGCATTAAGGTTGTGCAGCTTAACGATTTTCCCATGAATTTATTTTATTTTTGGGTTTAAATTAGGTTTACAAACTTTTTGCTAAGGCACATGACCGAATGTAATCTTTGTGTTTTTATGGCCCATAAAACCACAACAACATTCATGTACGCGTTGGAATACTTCCTTAGTGACTGTATGCATGCGTGTTTACCAGACTCTCCATTTTGCCCTGGGAGCCAGTACAGTGTTATCCATATTCTGCAGGGTGCTATCACATCGACAGCCTTTCTCTACAATTTAACACAACATTTTTAGAGAGAGGAAACGTCAAAGTAGGAGGAAGGCATTCATTATGGATGATTAAAGACTCAAGAACTGCCACATTGCATGCACAGCATTTTGCTACCTCCCTGCAAGACCTCGAAACGTGTAAGATGACTGTGATCCTGTAAATCTCTGTGGCATCCAGTAGGACAGACTAACCAACCAAGATCATGGCTCTTGGGTCCAAAACAAATTCTTGAATACAGATACCATGCATCCTAATTATAGCTTATTATTTTGCTGCAATATAAGCATTTTGTAAAAGTTTCCTTTGGAACCAAAATAAAGATCATCACCAAAATGAGCTTTTCTTTCTCCAGGAAGAACAGACTCAAACTAAAGCAGTTTCCATATTTAGAAGATGCCAAGAAAATGATTCATGCATGACAACAACAAGCATGAACCACAGAGAATGGCACAGTCTGGCTCCAGTTAATGAACATTTATTGAAGGAAAGTGTTCAGAGATCATAAAAACACTGTCAAAATGTAAAAAAGATCCTGTAAGCCTTCCTGACGTTTTAGCCACATGAAAAACTGCAGATTGCGTTTTCTTATGTGCGACTGTGTAAACACACAAAATTCGGCTAAAGCTGCTGTCTTCAGCCCGTCTTTCTCCGGGAATTGGTGCGGTGACCATGATTTCAAGGCTGAAGAATGTAGGACGTACCGAGCTGGCCAAAAGAGTGGTTGTTTTTTGGCTCCTTTGCTCCTGGTGTTAAGAAGCTCTGCTGGTTCTAGCTCAGCTCGCCTTGTAGCAGCCAAAATGCACAGCTGTACGATATCAGTGGCCGCAGCACATATTGGCCATAAACACAGAAATGGAGATGAGTCTCATTTACACAGGTTTCTCTCATGGGATGCTGTGCCAAGCATCAGACAGCATGCGGTCCCATCACACATCTCAAAAAAATCAACATTTGTTTCGTAAAAAGATGCTTCAGGTATTTCTGACACATCAGGTATTTCTGGTTCACCAAACTCAATATCTCCAGGGCTGAAAAGACAGCGTAAAAAAAAATCAAATTGTATCTGATGAAGATCCAGCACTGGATCAAAATGTTACGTATGCGGTGCATTTCCTGGAGGAGTGTAGTAGACAAGCTTCCTCACCTGTACCCTGTGATAGCAGAGTGAGTGAGAGAGTGAGCCTTCCTATCGCTCACTATTCCATCATCAAAGCCTGCTGCTCCTCTCTGCATTTACAGACTGGCTTTGCAATAATATTTTCACAGTTTGCTAGAAATTATCATTCCTCAAGTGTAGAAGTAAAAAAAAACAATTTAGGTCCTGCTACTACGGCAACAATCCCATTTAGTTCCTGTTACTATGGTGACAATCCCATTTAGTTCATGTTACTATGATAGCAATACCATTTAGGCCCTGTAACTATGAAAGCAATCCTACTTAGACCCTATAATAGCAAACCAATTTAGGTCCTGTTACTACGATAACAGTCCCATTTAGTTCCTGTTACTATGGTGACAACTCCATTTAGTTCCTGTTACTGTGATAGCAATACCATTTAGTTCCTGTTACTATGATAACAATCACGTTTATGTCCTGTTACTATCCTGCCACAATCCTACCGGAGAAGAAAAAAACACATCCACACAAGAAACCATGGTCCACGATATGTGACCTTAAACAGGTGCTGCCAAGAAATAACTTTCCACAAGTGCCCATATTTCCCTCTCATGCTATCATTTTGAGTAATAGTTGAGTTTAAGGGTTAGGGTTGGTCCATCCTGCCGCAGTAGCTGGTCCCTGTCAAGCCAGAACTGCACATACACCGTCACGTAGACAATAAAAGGGCACACTTAAAAATAACTCCGCTGTAGATGTTTACGTTGGCAAGCTGGGCACGAAGATCACGCAACAACGAAAATAGGTGAGAAGTGAAAACGGAGGTGGCTAGCAGGGGCATGCTGAGCCCTGACGGAAGCGTTTTAGAATAGAACAGTCGCACTTGATTCATCCCTGCAGGGAAATTGGCTCGTTTTCACATCGAACAGGGACGCGCTGTCTATAAGCGGCGCAGACAGACATGTAGGTGAGAGCAAGCAAGGGGTCAGAGCAGATGGTCTGAAAAATCCCAAAAATCATATAATCATTCTTTTTAAAGCCACAGCCTTCCAGAAAAGGGCAGGTATACCTAAGAAGCTGAGCCACATCCTGCCCCCAAACAGATATTGCTCTGAAAAATTGAGATATAACTTGGATTTTTTAGTACTGCTCAGGAAACTCAAGAAAGGGAAGGAAAATGGGTGCATATTTGCCTCTGTGTCAGAGATCTCAGGGTGAATAAGTGATCTGATATCATTGGTGCTTTCAAGAAGGACCCACTGTATCTTAAAACAAAGATGTGTTAATTACACTGTAATTTGACTCCTCCTCCTATGGACGAATTATTAGCAGGTAACGCTAACTGAAGGCCTAGCAGGAACCTTGTGGCTCATCTGTCCTGGACAAGCCTTCCACAGTCCAGTGACCGCTTCTGTCGCAAGCCAGGCATGTGATTGGCCAATTGACACTTCCCGCTGTTACCAAGAGACCCGTATGCTGCAGTCGTTTACATCTCAGCAAGATTTCAGCACCCTGTCGAGAAGAGGTCTCACACTTACGCCATGTCCATTACAGAGCAACACTCTCCCTTTAATTAGTGTCAACATGCACATCTGACATGGCCAGCCAGCATATCCCGTTAGAGCAGAACTTTAGGTACTCAAATTAAAGATACCCACATATGAAGAGCAAATGGCCAAAACTCTCTCAGTACACGGGATATATTTCCAAGAAAATTTCTGTGGTCTCTGAGTTTTAGAAATTTAAGGATCACATGAGTGAGTTTTGGTTCCCGATACCATAACACATGAAGTGGAAGCCTGGTTTTAGGTCATCGGCGGTAAAACATCACCCCAGAAACCACAAAGAATAGACTTTTGGAGTTTTGGAAAAAATTTATGTTATCACCAAAAGGTTTGGTCACACTAGCACAAAAAAAAGCCTCTCATTCAGTTTCATTCGAGCAGCAAGCAGAAAAAGCACTTCTAGTACGTAAATGCTTCTGCTCCAAAGTTTTTAAATAATAAACGCATTTGTGCTGTTATGCCTAGACATTTCCAGTACATTTAACCCTTTATACCGCTAAAGCATATTAGCATACCAGCTATGTCAATGCCTGTTTATAATATGTCACCAGCAAGCATGCTTCTTATGTAACTTGCTATATGAGGGGGATACAATTCTTTGATTGAAAACCACACTAAAACTACTGAGTTTACATGCCCATTTTCACTCTACTCTGCGAAGACACTGGATATTTTTCACTCTAGTGTGACTGTACTTTAAGATTAAATAATGTATTTTATACCTTTATAGTTCATACACCTACTAATACTCCATATGTATCAAATTTCCAATGTATTGTATATGTTTACAGTTTATATGTTTTCAATGAGGGTACCCTATTCTAATGTCTAATAGGTCTTTTGCCTCATTAAACAAAACCTGCCTATTATAATGACATGGATGGAATGGGTTTTCTAGCAAAACAAAAAATTAAGGCACATACATGCCTTACCGATTCAAAATCAGAAATATAAAATCAAATATTAAAAACTGGGCATATATAAAAATAAAACAATTGTGTTTCTCCTTGACATCCAAAATGGGTGAAAATAAACGAGAAACTACATTTTCTCATATTATTCATAGAGACCCCGTGACCTTGAACAGGATAAGCAGTTTCAGAAAATGGATGGATGGATGGATATTCATAGAGATTTTACTGTGTGCTGACATTACTGTAAAGTGAGTTGTCTATGTAATTTTCCATAGGACAGTGTTGTTTTTAATGAAACAGAAATGTTTTAATGTTAAAACAGGGCATTTTCCTGTGACATAAGCTCTTAAATGTCATATCAGTTCTGCTAGTTATTTTATCGAATAAGTATCCCATAAATGACATAAAGCATCATTACAGAATAACTTCATGCTCATTTTGCTGATATAACTGCAGTTTTTTCCATCATCTTCAAGGCCAATGATATAACAGACATGAATGAACCTCGAATGAATGAAAGATGTTTTTAATAAAATAACCTGATCTCCTCATGATCCCATCGCTTGGATACAGTCATAGTTCATAGAAATACATTAGAAATTGACAGTACTGAGAGTTCCTTACAAATACAGGTCAGCTTTAAATTAAAGCCCCATATTCTTTATGTACATGTGGTATATACATATATATTCTACATTAAACAAATATACACAATATAATTCAAACTTACCATTTGGTAAAGCACTATTAAAAGGACATTAACTGCATTACAAGATATAAATCTTGTAGATAAAGAACTTCAAACATCAGTTGTGTGTAAGTACAGATTTTTTTCCCAGCATATTGGCATGTTTGGCTTCTTTTATGAAAACGATAAAGACTATTGACATTTAAGTGAGAATGAGCCAGAAAAATGAAGATTCCTGAGGTTTTCAAATCGGATCTGAAACATGCTAAGACATAACAGATTTAAGAGAGACAAGAGCTAAAGAGTGATAAAGAGAGATAAAAAGTACTGAATAACTAAACGGATAGATCACACAGATAAAACAAACTTAAGACATGCTAAGTGTTATCCAATGGGAGTTTAAAGTGCTCTTGCTTTATTTAAACACCCAGCACTCATGACCAAATCGACTGATATAAACCAACGTCTCAAGGGGGCGCTGACGAGCTACTGCACCTACGAATCTCCACCCTCAACAGTGGGTGTGGTGACCAATGGCATCCGCTGGCCAATTACAGGGGGACATGCACCATAACCCCCCCCACCCCTGAGATGCCCCCCCAAGTCCATCCAGACAGCACATCTTTGATCTGGAGAGAAGTCCTCATGGACGAGGGGGGAACCCCCAAGTTTCCACAGACGTATCTACATCGTCTGGGTCATAGATACTCATCAGGCGAAGTTCTGGGATGGAAAATTCTGTGGAATCCGATCAGGAGCTGAGAGCTCAGGCCTTTACCTGTCAGCGGCCTCACTCCCACCCCCCCTCCTGCCCCCCCGCACGGCTCACAGGTCCCGGTTCAGCCTCAGCCGCCGCTCTTCAATGTGCCGCAGGAGTACCCTACCACGTTCCTCCACCGTGCGGACCAGCGCCCTCAGGCCATGCAGGCCTCCCTGGCTATCCCAGAATTCCTGGTCCACGTGAAGCGAGCGCAGAAGCATGGACTCCAGGCAGCCCGACTGGAGCACGGACACCGCCCTCTCGGGGAACCTGAAAGGCAAACATGGCAGCTCTTACACTTGGGGAGGGAATCTTACGCTAAAGTCAAATGTAACCATATAGCACAGGCAAGGCAATAATAGACAAAGCATATATCATATGAACACATAATTGCAATCATAACAGCAAGGTGTAATTTACTCACTCATCGATGCCTTCCACCAGGAGGAAGTTGAGGTTGTCACGTGACTGAAAAGGTCGCCCCGCGTTATCGATGAACACCAGCTTTGACGGGTCAGCCTTCCTCACCTGGGGACGGAGGGAGCCCCATGTGAGACTGACACATACTGCACATCCATCCTTTCCATACTGTACTTAATGAGCTGGCTGGTTTTGCTGCTCTCATCACAAAGCGTTAGTGTGCCAGCTTTCTGTCATGACTAAACTCCAAGTATATGTGTTTATACACACATATATTAATAGTCGATACTCATCGTTTGTTTATCTGCATATATGACAGCGTGTAACATTCCTCTTCTAGCTTAATGTCTCACATATTAAAGTGCCTCATTTCTGCTAACACGCTGATGTTCGGCCCACGCTGGACGCCGTCTCTGCTGGACAGGCTGGACTGCTCCCCACGGCCGGTGCTGCGATGGCAACCACACAGACCCGACCCGACTGCCTTATTTTTCTGCCCTGTCCACCCAGCGGCAGGGATTTAAGGAGGATTTCACAGCTGACTCCAGTCTCTCCACGTTTTCACGTTTGCCAGGCGGACGCCCTCTAAGGAGCATCTGATCGAATTATTGTCAAAGGACGGGCAGCCAGAAGAGCTGTGGCTGAAGATGTCTGGAGCCAAGGAGTCACTTAAACAGGGTCCAGACACCGAAGTGCTTCCAGAACAGTCTGTGGGGGTGCAGGAGCCAGGATTCCTCCCTCTTTTGAATCTACATCCTGCTGCTAATTTGTCTTGTTTACCCCTGAAGGAATTTTCCATCAAAACCAGCTGCTCCAGCAATGTCTTGTTTTAACAGATTATTTAACATTATTATGTAACCTAATCACCACAATCATCCAGAATGACTTAGATTTTTGCCTGTTTTTTTTGCAGCTGAATATTTTTAGAGGAACTCAGGTTAACCACCTTCCTCATGGATCCAACAGAATCCTCATTCCAGGACCTGATCTTATAGCCTAAAGGTTAACTAGTCTGAGCACCTCATTCATTTATTTGCTACAGGGACGTCATGAATGTCTACCAGGATGTGCACCAGCAGCAGGTTCTTGGGGTTCCCACACTTGGCATGTAGCCGGTTGTCCACACAGGGCTCGGAGGGATCTGGCTCGAACCCGCAGCAGTAGCGATCAAGCCGGTCACTGACCTTGGGTGGGAGGGAAGGCACAAGGTGATCACAGCGTGTTACTGAGCCGACCATAGCGAGAGGGAGGAAGGTCTCCACCGAACACCGAGACGGACAAAAGAACAGGAGCATGAAAGCAGGAGTTATGGGCCACCATTAGCACAATGGAGCCATCAGCTAACATGCTGATGGTGCCGATCCTGGTGAGGAGCTCAACAGCGACGGCCACCGGGGACCAGATAAGGTCACTCGTCTGCCCTCACAATATCTTGGAAAGTCCTGGTCTCTAATGTGAGAACCAGCAAAGGGCTGCCAAGGTCTGACTAGACACAACAGCCTGCCAAAAGAGAGGATCCGCAGAGTATAGTGTCTATACATCTAGATCTTTATATACACCTACAGTATATACATCCATCAATCGTCCAACAGCTTTTGCAGGACAGGCTTGTGGGTGAATATTATACAGTGGTACCTCGGTTCTCGAATTTAATCCGTTCCGGACTCCAGATCGAATCCTAAAAAGTTCGAGTTCTGATCGAATTTTTCCCATAAGAAATAATGGAAAACCAATTAATTGGTTCCCGGCCCCCCAAAATGACACCTAGATATGTTTTTTTTTTTTAGCATTTAAACACAAAATGAACAGGATAAAACAAGAAGAGCATTTTTCTGTCTGAAGAAGGCATTCAAGGAAGAATTGAATTGTAGTATGACTCATTTCCTGGCGCGTACAATTTATATTAGGTCAGCGTTCACGGTTCGACTTCTGATATTCAGATCGAGTTCTAGGTCAAACTGGTTTGTTCGACTTTCAAGAAAATCGAGTTCTAGTCAGTTCGAGAACCAAGGTACCACTGTATACACACACACACACACACACACACACCAATATAAAATCAGGGTAGAAGGATATATTCATGATGGCTTTTTCCATACACTGACTATTATGAAGACTTTAGCTACTTGCTGTGATACACTGATAACACGCCAGAGAGGGAAAACAACAAAATGTTCTTTCCCAATACCGAGAAGTTATGAGGCACAGCGGGTTACCCGTTCTGACTCTCGTTGGGCTGTTAAAACACGATCTGCCCCGGACAGCCCCGAATATGCCCCCCCCCCCCAAACCCCCGCATGGGGTCACAGAGCAGCCAGGTGGAGTCAGAGAGCCTGAGACGGAGAATGGCAAAGTTATAATGTGTGACCATCTAACGAGGAGGAACTGTAACAAAACGACAGGCTGACACGTCATCCAGGAGCGAATCGGTGCTAATTAGCGTCTGACTGAGTAGCAACTCCACCACGCATACGGAAGCCAGGCGGCCGCCTCCATAGAGGGAGAAACTCACTGCCGTGCGAACACTCAGCTGCCGCTCGCCCTACACACGCCGCTTTCATTACGTCCTAATCCCCATTGCCTTTCATTTACATTCAAGTCGATGGTAATGGGGAGAAATCCAGCCAGGCAGGCAGTTCTGGCTCATTTCCATGTTCCACAATGACAAACCCTCAAATAGACACAGCAATTACACTTACCCAGGAATTAATTAATTATCTATCTATCTATCTATCTATCTATCTATCTATCTATCTATCTATCTATCTATCTTCAACTTGCAGGAAACGCTTTAGAGAGTACCTCAGATCCAAAGCAAGCCTGTGAGACTTCTACGGCTCCAACACGCACGGGACCTATAGGTCATTAGAGATCCACGGCGGGGGTATTTGTTCTGTCGTCCCTTTAACATCTGAGTTTTATGGCAGGCGGGACCGCGAGAGGTGTTAAATAATCAGATAGGGACAGGCCTTCTGAGCATAAGTCAGCGATTCTGAAGCATCGATCGATAGCTATTAGCTACTGGCCATTTTACACTCATCGATCTGCTCGAGAGGCCTCTCATATTCCACTAACATCCACAGGGACACCCCCTGCCTTTTGGGATATCTTCGTGTTGGGCTTCGAGGCCCAGTTACACCATGAATCGGCATGGCCAGATATGGAGAATGACTTTCTTTAGCTAAAACCCACAGTAAAGTGCATTCTGCCGTAGGCTGACCTGACCAAGAATACAATAGTTTTCTCAGATTTTTGGGTATGAAACAAACACGAGGATTTCTGAGTTCTTGCCGAGTAAAAAAAAAAAACAAACATTTTATTCTGTAAATAATGCAAACCCAATAGACCCACCAAAGGGTGATGGGTGGCAGTGGGAGCTGTCTCTGCTGCCCCCACCAACCCATCCCCGCAGAACCTGTCACTTTAACCTCCATCTAGCTGCCTGTCGCCACGTCACCATGGTAACCAGTGGCCAGAGGTGGGGTGGGCAACTGATGTCCTCACCCCCATTTTTTAAGGTGCTTAAAATACAATACTTGAAATGCACCCGGCGCCCAGATAGGGAGACACCACGGGCCACACGGATGCTCAGGGGACCGATTACTGGTGGACATCGTTACGAAGGAATGATGTCTCCTGTTAAAATCTGAACAGAAAGCAGTTTGCCTGCTGGCCAGGAACCAGTGCATGTTTCATATCCAAACAAGGCATAATTGTGTGCAAATTTCAACGTCTGCTAATAAGAGAGGTAAAAGACTGCATCAGTATCGCCAGATCCAGCACCCAAGCAGGCCGGCTCCTCGCCAGAGAGCGTTTGCCCACATTCATAAGTATTTTCACACGTCAGGCATCTGCTTTATTTATGGACCAGAAACAGCACACTAGGCTAAGATGGGCTACGCTAGATAGCCTTTCTAGTATTTCAGCCAACGGCACCTTCAACGAGAAAAATCAGTTTGTTTTTCACGGTGCAGTATTTAGAGAAGCTATAAACGCAGCCGGGCCCTGGTGTATATGGGCTGGCTCTAAGCCAGTCCACAAAAAGCTAAAAAAAAAAATGTTTCATTTTCTAATTAATTCACTATCACCAGCATCTCATGAATAAAACTCCCTTTCGGGGGTGAATATCTGCAGCAGCTTGAAGAACATTTAATTGGATTTTTAACTGAAATGATCAGCCACATCACTCCAGCTGGAAATAAGATAATTGCTTACGAAGCCGTGCGTTTAATAAGGTGGCTGCTGACCTGACCTACCCATACCTGTGATTCCACCCATTATGAGTTACCTATTATCAATTATGTTGACAGTTTCTGAAAGGAGGTCTCGCCCTTTATTCAGAATATCACAGACATTCTGCTGCATTCTTTTGATGTAATTGTCTCATCCGGCAATTGAAGTGAAAATGGGTTCACTGCAAATGGCCTCGCTTCTAACAAAATAAAGAAATGCACTTCTGAGAAGTTTGGGTTCTCTCGTGGGATGAGTCACAGTCATTAAGTAAAAACGGCATCGATGAGGCTTTAGCCAAATTAGCACATTCTTGTCCCGGTGAGTCACTGTTTAAGTCCCTCGATTCCCGGACGGTGGTCAGGTGACTCACGCTCTGTTTCCACGTAAATTTCTGATAGAACCAAACTACATAATTAGACTCACGGCTAACAGGTGACAAAGTTTGCCAAATGTTGAACCAGGGGAGGGATGTTTTCTTGGAGTAGGGTTGGTGGCCTCACCTGGGATGTCACGTTTGGGGTTCCACGTCTAAAATGTACTTGCACACAACAGAACAGAGAGTTTGCATCCATGTTTATGGTTTTGCCCCCATAGTCAGAAAAATGTGGAACTAGTGCCTCTACGCTGCAGATATTCTCAGTGCATTTCATGAGTTGAATTACCATCCCATTTAGGTTGTCCCCTGTCTCATACCCTTTATGTTCTCGCAAAGGCTTTATTTGAATAGTACTGGATAAGGGGTTATGGGAGAATGGTACCTGACACAGTATTAGAAATGTATTTACCTGAAGAAGGAAGTCAAACAATGCCAGCCTTCCCCATTCTGAATGGTGAACACCAATGCAGGGTGGGGAATTCTCAGACACTCCCTTATTGTTGCATTTGGCCTTCAGAAGAGCCTGGTACTGCAGCCAGGTAAGAGGGAAGGAGTTTTGGTCGTTGTCATCATCGGGCAGGTGCTGGATGCCCGGAGCCCACCACACCACAGGCCTGGCAGAGCCGCTGGTGTACCTGTAGGGCAGTAGGTTACTGTGGAATTTCCGGGACACCACGGGCAAACTCCGGTTCAAGCCTAGAACCCTGTCCAGATGGAAGGCAAAGACCTCAAACCAGTCATCGGAGCGCTTGATCAAGGCACAGAGGCCTTGTTCACAGCGGCTCGCATGGTCGCTGGCTGGGATCGCTGGACCTCCCGTACCCAGCCCAACTTGAAGCACCTGTCCATGGGCTGGAACCCGGGCTTTGCTGATCACCTCACCCCAAGAAAGCAGTTCCATTTTCTGGATGTCATCCTCACTGAACCACTGTAGATGCTCCGCCCTAGATCTTATTCCACGGTTCCAACTTTCCAAGAAATCATCCTGAGTCACCTTGGTGCACCAGACGGCCTCCTTCTTCTTGACTCCCTGCTGGGCTACGTCTCCTTTCCCACTGATGGTGTTCGATTGGCGTGTTTGTGCTCTGAGGTCTCTGGGGACTCGCGTTCTCATAGGCTGTTGCTGGATAGTAGCTTGACCACCGAGAGTGTCAACCCTATGACACTTTGGAGCACAAGTGATTTGAAACTGATGCTGGTCCTCAAAGGACCTTTTTGTCATCCGAGGCTTGATCATGCCTTGTAAGCCTTGTTGGGGAGGGAGTAGCTGGTTTGAGATCAAAGCTCTGCTGTTGTTATTTTGCGTGATGCCTGGTATACCTCGCTTCTCAGTCGATAATTGCTGAGGTTGTTGTTCCTGCCTGCTGCCTGAGGACTTGCCTCTGGCTTCCCTCTTAGCCAGAGCAGCGGTGTCCTCGCTCACATGACGCTTCCTGACAGCTTGATGTACCACGTGCTCACTTGCCTGCCTTTGAGCAAGGTCAATGCTGACTTTCTGCCCGTGTTCCCCAAGCTTTGCCGGTGGGTCCTGCCTTGGCTGCTCCGCATGGCTCAGAGTGAGAGGCCGGCCCCTGGCCTGAGTCGTCCCATGAAGGCCGTGCCAAGATAGCACCTTGCGACCCTCTAAAGGGAGAGAAGGCAGTGTGTTGATCGTCATCGCAAACAAGATGAAGAGAAGGAGCAGGATGAGGCTGATCCACCTCCTGAAATACTTCTTTAACCACAGTCTCAGGGCCTGGAAAGGAAACAGGGAAAGGATGAGAAGTGAGGTCAGGATCTTTCTCCATGTGTGAGGATAAGACATCTGAAAAAAAAACTTAACCATCAGAGAATGTTATATAAAGAGTCGAAACTCAATTCCTGTCCTAGTGAATGGATAACATCTGCCTTCAACGTCTTGGAAACATTCTGTGTAGGTCCTATCTTTAGGCATCTTCTGAATGGTTCTGTTGGAAGATTAGCAAATTTGCAATTCAATGTTGGTGTGTCCTACAACCATTAGGTCTATTTTCTGCTAAGGATCAGCAAGGTGCAGAGCCCGTCTCTCTGCAGGGTGGCCCAGATATGTGCTACTCATTTCTGGTCTGTATGAAATAGAGAAAAAGTAAATGCAGGGTCTCGATGAATAACTCATGGGAGCATGACCCATGACCAAGTCCATGGGAAGAAAGGGGATTCCAAAATGCCTCAAGCACTACTGCTGTACATTCAGAGGCCGAGTAGAAAATTTCAGTTGTAGATTAACAGAAAGTTACGTTTCTGCCAGTGTGGGCGTTTACATCCATAGGAAGACCTTCAAAGTGTGTTGGATAGCGACTTGCCACTCAGGTATTCTTAACTGCCGTTAATTTACAGTCTTCTGGAAAAGAGGGCCATGACGTATTAGTAGGTATGTTGTCACTCCCACTTTGATTTCCTCATCTACTTGGCTCTTTTTATACTTTGTAGGCTTCCTAGGATTTCTGCCCTGCGGTAGTAGCAATACATCCTGTACGTTTGCAGGAAATTACAAGGGCGGGTACCCACAGCACATTTTCATCAGAGCAGCACTTTTTAATGTCCCCATTCTTCTCAAAAAAATATCTCCAGGAGCTGTTTTACAGTCAGACCATATATTTTCTTCCACACAAATCCTCATGAAATTTCATGACCTTAATCGCTCAGCCCGATCCTTTATTTTTCATCTGAATGCACTTTTAGTGAACATCCTTGGCTGAGGGGATCCTTCCGTTTCTAAAGAAGTGTTCTAGCAACTTCTGTGTTCATGCCTGAACAGGTCCATGTTCGCCTATGTTCTTACCCTTCATTAACTGCTGCATGCCTTCACTTTCCAAACATGAAAGCTCTACTTCAAGCTGCGTTTAGATTTACACCACTTGACACAACACTCCTCCCTCTGCTCAGGCTAAATTGAAAACAGATTCACATGTGTTTGTTGTAATCCTGATCCTCATCAAACCAGCAGAAGTAATCCATTTGCCTTGCCAAGGATGCATTTACATCCCCTTTAAAGTGTTTTTTTTTAGTAAAATTAGCTATACTAAAGTGATGTTCCTTCAAGATAACCTGTTTTAACACATAAATTCACAAGTGCTCTCATAAATGTTACAGAAATACAACATTATTCCAGTGGGTCTCACAAGGTGATTCACAAATCTAGCTGGCAAGCCAAAGTCCCCTGTAATGCCATTTTCCACATCAATAAAATGACAAACGATGTGTCAGTGGGATGAAATCACAAATCTTAGAATACATGTAATAACATGAGAATCAATTTCATTTAAATAAAAATGATTTAGGGAGATTTACCACTGACTCAAATTCACATAGGCAGTGAATCACAACATGAGAAAAATTTGATGGAATACAATGTTAATGGTGACCTTCCTATTAAATCATGTCCTTGTTCAATATCAAAAATATCAAATGCTACTCACAACGATGCTTGAATATAAAACAGTATTAGAGTAAAGGAAAATGTATTTCCCGGCAGCCCATAATAATGTATTTAAAAACTTTTTTGTGTGGCTCTATGGTACAAATGAAACTGCATACTGCCCTTTTCATTAGAGTCTGACTGCAGGAGAATAGCAGCATCCAGCATCTTAACCTCGTCAGGCTTCCGACTGTTACTGCCAGATTTTACTTTATGCTTCAAACAAAAACTACATTCGACTAGCAGAAGATTAGCTTTCAGTCCAGTTTCCTTTAAAGCAACCTGCAGATTTTTCTTCAATGCATCACTAACAACAATATAGTTAAATTGTATTTTTGTGCAAGGAACATCTTTATGCGATAAAAAATATGTTCAAAAATGAAAGGTAAAGTTTTTAATCATTTCCAAAAGTGTTTTGTCACTTTTGGAGTCTTTCACAGCTTAACTGAGGGTTGTGGCTTTATCTGAAATATGTTGAAATATATTTCCCGCTTAATGGAAATTGATGAAATCATTGTTCTCTCGCCATCTGCTTCTCCGCTGGCTGCACTTTACATCCACGACACAATGATAATCAAATCAAATCAAATCAAATAGCCTTTTATGGTCAGTTCACTATATGTCCATAACATACAAGGGAATCGAGATGCTGTTTCTCTCTCATCTTCGTAGTACAATATAAGATATAAAAGTATAAACATATAAAATATAAGATAAATACCAATAGTACTAAAAATACTGTAGTAAACCTCTGTACAATATGTAACGGTCAGTAGTCCAAAAACAGCAAAAGAGCAGTAAAATTGATGTAAAGTGAGGAGGTGCATTTTTAGAGCAGCTTTTGAGACTTGCAAAAAGCCAGTTAGCAGCAGATGTCATATTGAGTCTTTATATGGTAGCAGCTACGGTAGGGTACTTGGAAGGTAGTGACTCTCTTGTTACGTGTGTGTGTGTGTGTGTGTGATTGTGGCATCCAGGGAGGACTTCATTTGAAAACATCCTGTTTGCAGTTTCGAAGGTCCTTTGCAGGAAAAAGCCGTCCTCTGTGGGCTCGGAGGTGCCAGCGGGGTATAATGGGCGTCATGCTGAGGGCTGGGGGGCTGTTTCCTGACGTAAGGGGCAGTTTGAGGCTGTTTCCTGGCGTAAGGGGCAGCTCGAGGCTGTTTCCTGGCATAAGGGGCAGCTCGAGGCTGTTTCCTGACGTAAGGGGCAGTTCGAGGCTGTTTCCTGGCGTAAGGGGCAGCTCGAGGCTTCGCCTGCCATGGACTCACTCTGACACAGCACTGCCGCCCCCAGCCGTGCTGGACTTTCACGCTTAATCAACTCTTTTTCAGGCAAATTCTGCCCGTACTGCTGAGCCACTAAAGCTGTTTTCATTGTAAAAAAGAAAAAGTCACTTATAAGAAATTAATGGATAAAGACTCAATAACCGTTTCCATTTTTTGAGGCTATTTCTACCTTTATTCATGTCATAAATGTTTTCCAGGTGTCCGTCTGTCTGGAGGGGTTTGTGTATTGGGAGCCTGTTTGCTTTTTTAACCGGAAAGGTTTCCACTGTGTTTCTGAGCAATTAACTGGGAAATGACACAGTTCTAGAAAAAAACCCAAAGAGCAATAAAAGACATGCTAAAAGTTCAGATTAAGATAATGCAAAGTGAAACCGGGCCGTACTGGGATGCTGTGAAACAGCGGCTCAGGCTGAGCTAAACGCTCATTACACCTATAAATATACATTCATTTTCCCCGAAGCATTTACACAATATGGGGTCACAGACTGCCTGGGGCCTATCCCAGCATGCACTGGGTGCAAGGCAGGCTGGACCACACACACACACACACACACACGCATAACCACACACACACACAGGCACGCACACATACACTCAAATGAAGATTTAGAGTCACTAACCCACCTAAGCCGCATGTCCTTGGATTGTGGTAAGAAGCCAACAGTATGTGTAGAAAATCCACAGAAACATGTAAACTTCTCACAGAGATGGTCTGGACAGGAACCCACAAACCCAGGGGTGTGAGGACACAAGAGCTCTGGCAAGCATGACGTAGCACTGATACTCTACTATGTACAGCAAGCAGAGCAGTGGGAGGCTGCCGGCTGCCTGATTGGCACTAACCTGCATTTCCAGACAAGGGGAGCACACGCAGAAAGCAGCCGATCAGCATCAGGCCCGGCGAGGATGAATCCACCCAACGGGCCAGTAGTGCTTCAATGGCTGGAGACACAAAGGAGCCACTTGAATGTGTCTCCTGCTCCGCTGAAGTGTATTTGTATGGATCCCAAAAGAGCACAGTGTTAGTATGATTGGGTGATTATTCTGTGGCCATGCTTTTCTGGATTATTATTATTATGATTAGACAGCTGCCACAGGCTGAGGGCAGCATCATGATTATGGTGTCTGAAAAGCCAAATGTGTCACATCTCCCCTCGCCATGACAACCGCCTGTCGCAGAACCTACCACCCCCCCGTTCGGCTGAATGCTCTACTCCGTCACTCTCCTACCTTTACCCCCTCCCCCCCCCACCCACCCGCATTTCTGCTCAAGCAGTGATTAAAAAATAAAAGGAATCGGGAGATATTACTGAGACGTGCTCTCTGGGACTTCAAGTATCAGTAGGTTCTATCAGTGCGGCCGCTTTAATAGAGTGTTTTTATGTATGGATAGCAGGCGTTAGGCTAATCCGCCACGTCTGAGGCATTAAACACACGCCCAGGAGGCTGACACGTCCCGGCTGCTCGGAGAACGGTGTGTGCGTCACCTCTGAGGGGTGATGGCTCTGAAAACGAGCCCCCAACCCACTGGAGACGGAAAAGAATTCACATCCAGGGTATGGCAGACAGGCTGACAGAATGGGACAGCATTCAGTCGCCATTACAAATAAACACTACAAATTAATAAGGTTTAGTTCCTGGGATACATTTTTCAAGCAGGAGTGCCAGAGAGATCAATGCTGTAATGAATCATCGGGAAATAATAACAATCATCTGTGGCCAGAATGCAGAGTTGCTAGCATGTACTTGCAAACACCAGACGAAAACGTTTCGGTTGAACCTCTTTTGAGTTCTGCACTGGCGGCAGACCCCAGACGACACTAAAAGATGCGTTGATGCTCGTTTAAGGAGTTGGTGGGAATCGTGAGATGCTGTCACCCGGAGGAGGTGACACGAGGAGACAGGACATGCTGTGCCTATGTGACACAGATGAGCTGTGTTCTTATTTAGAACGAAAACCACACTCACCAGGGCGTGTCTCACATGTTAATGCACAGAGGTGCAGCAGGCGATCATTTCAATTACATACATGACAACGTATATTTGGGGAGAAAAATCATATCTATAATTATGTATGTCAATATTCCAGTCTATAGACGATAGCTGAGTCTGTGCGTGCATGGCCAGCAATCTTCAATCAATAATTAGTTAAACATATAATGAAAAAAAACATATGTATAGAACAAACATTAGTAACAATTTTTATATAACAATAATTGCAAACATTTGAAAACAATGGGGCTGTAGCTTTGGATACCTGACAAGAAAAAATTTGGCCAAACATGAATATTTTAACTGAGTTTGACAGTTTTATTAATTGGTTGGCTTAGATGTTGTATGATTGCTGACATAAAAACTTTTTAAAAGATGCAGCATTTATATAAGTAGAGGTCTTGTACATCCAAGTGTCTTAATAACAAATATATGAGGCTAGTCAATATTCATAGAGGCCATCATTATTAAATGTTATATTAAGGTTATAGACTTAATGGATCTAGCATTAATTACGATGTAATGGATTCCTTGCTGCAACATTAACGCTAATTGAGTTACCTTCTGAACTAATGCTGAATGTAATATGTCCCTGTTTAGTCGCAGAATGATTTCTATTCCTGAAGGATCAACACATTAAATCCACCCACTGTTTGCTGCAGGAAGGCAAATGCACGATTATTGGCTCTGTGATTACAGGCAGGGGATACTAGGACATATAAGAACATAAGAACATAAGAAATTTACAAACAAATTTATCTCCATATATGAAGGATGACTACCTGAACAAATTCAGAAAGTACTGATTCACTACCCATCCGGGCATTATATGCAGTGAGTAGCGAGTCACTGCCTGTTTGCACATTATATACAGTGAGTGATGAGTGACTGCCTGTTTGCATGTGCACATTATGTAGTGACTAGTGAGTCACTGCCTGTTTGCATGTGCTCATTATGCAGTAAGTAGTGATCCACTGCTTGTTTGCACATTATATGCAGTCAATAGTGAGTCACTGCTTGTTTGCACATTATATGCAGTGAGTAGTAAGTCACTGTCTGTGTAAGGAACTGGATCAAGGTCCATGTGCAGGATCCATGTTCATTAAATATTATTACCAAACCATCCACAATCGAAAACCATAACGACAGGCAAGGGTCAATACCAGAATCGAGATGAACCCAAATCCAAACTGCTGGACAAAGACAAAGGAAGGCACTCATAATATCTCACAATTGGACACTGAACAGAGACAATAGTTACGATATAAGAAATAGTTTTATTAGGTGTGATTAATTAACCAGCTCTATGGACTGGATTCTGGATCTAGAGGCTGGTTAGTTGGCAGACATGACAGCATTTTTTGCATTTAATGCAGTGAGTAGTGAATGAATATTCATGTGCACATTATATGCAGTGATTAGTGAGTCAATACTCATGTGCACATTATAAGGAGTGAGTAGTCAGTCAATATTCATGTGCACATTATACATGGTGAGTCATTACTCATTTGCACATTAAATATTTGGATTTTGTGTGCTTTGCTGCTGTTTACGCTGAGTCTTATGCCTCTGGGTACTGCATATGTTTGTTTTTCTGCTGCTCTAACTTCTTGTAATTTACTCTGGGATGAATGAAGTTTCTTTCCATCTATCCATCTATCTTATCTGTCTTTAATCAGAGATCTTTAAAACTCATTAATGAAGCTAAAGATAACTGGAGCCATCAAGCGTACAGGAGGATGTTAGCATTTTCAAATCAATATGTCTTTCTTGTCTATAAGTGGTTTTGACATCAAGCTTGTGAAGACTGCTGGTTGTCATGGAGATAATAAGAGTTTCAGGGTTCAATTACATTTAGTGGATAATCTATAGCAAACAAACCCCCAAATCACGCAATCAACAAAACTTCCTTGAAATCTCTTGAATGTTCCCAGCATCAGATCTCAAATAAGAGGGGATTAAAACTCCACCAGTCACTTCATCCATTTGTTCTGAAAGATGATAGCATGCATTTCAAGAGAGCAAAACAGCAACAACATCAACACCAGAGGCACAGATTCTCTGTCACGTTCACTGCAAATCAAAATCTGTACCTCTTTCAAAATGTCACAGAAGGGAACTGTTGGTACACAGGGCCTCAGGGCAACACCCCAGAAGGGAACAGAGATGCTGACATTAAATCACACAAGAACGGCGTGGAGCAAAGCTGCTCCACAAATAACTAGTCAACTTGCACTGGTCCGAAACAGCCTCCAGTTACTAAAAAGTGGGTTCCCTACATCTTTAATAAGGCACTCCTTATTCATGTCAAAGACCCACAGAGACACAAATATGCAGGCGTGTATGCAGTTAGACAGACAGACAGAGACAGATAGACAGAGACAGAAAGACAAATAGACAGAGACTGAGAGACCGATAGACAGACAGACAGACAAAGAGGCTGGCAGACAGAAAGACAGATAGATATTCAGGAAGGCAGACAGACAGAGACAGACAGACAGAAACAGATGGACAGACATAGACGGACAGACATAGACAGAAAGACAGAGATAGACAAAGATAGACAGACAGACATAAACAGACAGGGATAGACAGAAAGACAGAGATAGACAAAGATAGACAGACATAGATAGTCAGGCAGGCAGGCTGACAGACAGCCAGACAGATAGACAGACTCAGAATTCACAATCAGATAAGCAGGAAAGATGGAGCTTCACCTTTCCAAGTGAAGTGAATTCAAGTCAAAATTCAAGAGGCCTTTTTAGTCAAACATTAAACGTTAAGCACAGAACCATCCAAACGTCATATTTCAGTCTTCAAAGTCTTTCCAATCAATATGGAATGTAGCCCACGCACCCGTATCTTATACTGAAACTGAAGGCATCGGCATGGCTGTCAGCCCAACAGGATTTTTAAGATTCAGCCTAATGTCAGATGCTATATGCTAAATATGAAGATTTTGGCTACATATTAGGTTACTCATTGACTGTCTGTCATTAAATACAAACCTATTCTAAGTCTTCCCCACTCTGTGTTGTGTGTACAGTAAATGCTATTTTAAACATTGTCACAGCATGACAGTCTATTTCTTTAAAAAAAGAATCAATAAACTCGAGTGAATCTAAAGCTTATAGTTCAATGCAGCATTCCATGTAAATGTCACATTTTAAAGGAACAAGATGATAATATTAATATATGCTGCACTAATCCACTAAGTAACACTGTATCATTTATATACCTCCAGGTACTAAAAAAGGTGGATGAGTCTCATGCTTCAATCTCCATAGGTCAAGGCCTTTTTTGTTTTATCCATGTAAATGTCAAGATATTGAAACTGGTAAAAATAACACATGTTAAACATGTGTTGCTCCTTATTCCCTGTTTGTTCTGTTTTCCTTGTTTTAGAGTCCCTTGGTGTTTGGACCCTCTGTATCTGTTAATTAGCCTCATCTGTCCCTTGTTGCCCCTAGTTCATAATAGCCTTTGGTATCAGTGTATTTAAGTTCCTGGCTTTGTTCTGTTCCTCAGGGGGTCATTGTGGCTGTTGCTCTGTGTAGCTGTGAGATTATTTGTTGGCGTTATGATAGTTATCCCATGTAACTATTGTAGTTTCCCTATTTTCCTCCCTGTCTTTGGTATTGTTGTTCCTGGTGTTGCTCCCTGTCTTTGCTATTGTTGTTCCCGTTGTTGCTCTCTACCATAGTTTCTATTTTACCAGTTTTGTTTTGACGCTCGTGGTCTCTCATGTTCCGTTTCATCAGTAAAACCTTTTTGTTGAGAGCCACTATGTTGATTGTTCTTCCTTTCTTATGCCCCACCATAACAGCAGATGAGTTAATTAAGTAAAATGCATGATAATGATAACTGGCCAGGCCTCAAAAATGAGACCATGTCATTTAAAGAAAATGTCATTTAAAAAGCAAGCAAGAGAACCTACGAATGGCAATAAAGTTCAGAAAAAATTTAACCCCAATTACTTTGCAGAACTGAAAAGATGGAACATTTTTTCTTGATTTATTCAGGTCGTTCAAAATTTCCATAACGTGCAAACATATCTAGCAGAAATAATTAGCAAATTTCCAAGGATTTACTCTAGCAAGGTATGTTTGTGAATTATAGTTATAGCAATCATAATTAATTATAGTACACCTAAGCATGGCCTCAGCATTTCTGCTTATAGGTCATTATTGTAGAGTCCCCCCCCCCCACCAGTAACCCCCAGCTCTTCTTCACAGCTCAGCACATGATCCGCCAAACATGAGCAAACACTGGCAGAGAAAGAGCCAGTTTCTCTGACGTCTTCCAGGCTTGCTGGCTACAGCAGGAACATTGCCTGCAGTGTAATGTAAAGGGCAGTTACTGAGCAGTGGACACAGTTCTCTGCCGTGTAAGACCTAAACTACTGTGCTGGCCAGATTTTGCAGGCAGGGTGTCTTTGACTGGAAAAACATAAAACCAGTAAACAAAGTGATAGTGGTTAACTTGACAGAATAAGGAATACAAGTTGATGTTAGCGGATTTTGGATATTTTTGCAGAAAATAAACTGGCAGGCACTGAAATTAAAACCGAGATGAAGTATAAAGACACCCTGTCACCCCTTGCCACACAAATGCTGAAAGGAGAGATATAATGTACCCGTTAGCATCCACTCACTGGCTTGTTATGGGGGGTGGGGGGTAAGAAAACATGTTCTATACACAGTATCAACATGCTAGGCTACCTTACAGGGACACAGCACGCCACTGACATCGTCAGGAACATGATCGAGATCTGGGAAGGTTGGGGGGGGGGGAAAGCAGAGGGAATTGCAGAGCAGGCAGACCTCACAAGAGGGCTGCTGTGGCCAGGCCAGTAAGACCCCTGATTGAAAAAACAGATCCTTACGCATGAAAAACACCTTTAAAATCTCATATGGCAGCTTCCAGTCCAACGCAAACACGTGCGGCAATAAGCAAACAGGCTGAAGTTGGAGGTAAATATTTTATACCAGCTTAAATGATGTAGACCGTGGGAAAGGGTGGGAAGCTGAGGATTCGGGGTTTGCATTTTTTTTTCCTTGCGCTACCTTGGCCAGCCTAAGTCAACACCGCACCCTCTACATAAATCTCATTCTTAGTCTTGAGGTGTCAGCATGCCTGCTGCAAAGCCAAAGTGACCCGGGCGCTTCCAAAAGCCCGAGCGCCGTTAACCCTTTTCAAAGCCGCCGCGGCACCACGAGTCATCCGCCCTAACACGCGTGACGTTCAGCCATCTGAAATTTCAGACGTCGTCCAGCAGGAACTCGGGCTCGCCGGGAGCCCCGGGCGGTAACACGACACCGGCGTCCCCAGCTGCGCCCCCGCTGCTTGACCAGCGCTCACTGGCCCCATTGGTGAGTCCGTGAAGGTCAACCTTAGAATATGCAACCGTATAATATGCAGACTTTTAAAAAATCCCTGTATATCCACAGAAACTTGCGGTGAACATTATAATATAGGATAATATGCACACTTACCGATGGAAGAAATACACCGTCACTAAAGCCGTTTTGGCTTATATGCTATAGTGTTGTCAGTTGTGTTTCAGTATTTCTTTCACATGAAATACGACGCATACTTTGTTCATCTAAATCATCCTTTCATGAATTGTTGTCAGTTTTGTTCTTCATCTAGATTCGCATCTTAATCAGCATGCCTTTAAAATAATTCTCCGCGACGATTAAATAAATAAATAAATAAAGCATTTAAATAAAATTGCGCTCCTTGTTTAAGTTGTGAACTTTTGATAATTCGTCTTTATTGTATTTTGAATTTTTGACAAACACAAAACCTACAGTAAGGTTTGTTGAAGGGGGCTTGAGAATCCAAAAACTATGCGCCTATACCATATTTATAATATAGCACTAAGGGGGTTATTTAACAAAACAGAACACATGGGAGAAGTATCAGTTTTTTTTGTTCTTTGTCTTTCGTTACCGAGGGCGTGGTGTTAGGTAGTGCTCCGGTGTTTTTCCCTTCTTAAGCACAATTATGTAAGTTGATCCGTCTTAACTGAGCAACATTTCTTAGAGCGGCCCTTACCCAAAATAAGGTCGTGTGTCTTTAACAATCAGAAAACGCAGGAATTAATCCCCGGGACTGAGTGCATTCCTGCCCGTATGCATACTGAGAGCATACGGAGAGATCCCGGGGTACCGTGAAGCACCTTCGGGAAAAGAACTTTCAATGACATTAAATTACTTTTTAAAAGAACGTGCACGCATTGCATCGATGTATCTCCTCTTTATGCAGACAGTTATGATGATCGCCATCTGCCACGTAATGCATACAGGTATGCAGCAACGTTCCTGTGTGCACTGATCGGGGAACTTACTGCCAACTTAAGGAGCAACAAAGGACACATTCTCAAGCATATTATTCATTAAATAAAGTTTAACCACAAACACAGCACACGGCAGGTCATGCCTTGTGCCCTGCGTGCCACCTCCGCTACCTTGCCCGCCGAGTTTCCGCTTCTAGAGAAACTTACTCGGCCCCAAGTGGAAGCCACACTCACCATTGTGTCGCTTTTGATGCCGCAGGTAGCTGAGCGAAGCCCCTTCGTGCTTCATGTGGACCCTGCAGTAAGCGATCATCTGGGATCAGCTGCGTGTATCAGCGATCAACCGCGTGCAGCGGAGCCGCATCTGGCCGGCGCGCGCCCCATTCCAGCTGTGCACGGTCCGGGACCAGACGCCTCTCACAAGACATCCCTCTGGACCGGCCCATTCACTTGATATGCCAGTTATTCTGAACACACTCCGTCACAGCTACAATCACTATCCATATTTACTTAATAATAAGTTAAGTGCATCTCCTTTTTTATATTAAGTAGGACGGAATGCATAATAGATGTGGATGCATTAGCTATGTTAAAGCAACCAAGGCAGAACAAAGGTAAACACCGCCGAACTATTCCCCTGCATACTTCAGACAAGACGTCGGCACTTAGAAAAAAGTAGATTCCACGAGGCCCATTCCACTGGAAAGACTCGCTTCACAATAAAAGCCCCTCCCCTTTTGCGAGTAGGCTAAACAGAAGGCAATATGGATTTTTTCCGAATGAACTGCGGTGATGTGTTTAATTATATACTTCGTATCACATTTCTTAAAATCACGAGGTATGCTTGAAATAAGATGTGGAATGATTTAATATAAACGTTTTGGGTGGTGGGCTTGTACATTAAAATCTGCTACTGCGGCCAAAGCGACTTAATGCAAGATATAAAGCCAGATCTTGGAAATAAACAAATTAATAGTATAATAGGTACAATTAACTGACTGGGGGGGGGGGGGGATAGAAAACACAAAAATTTGTATTGTAATCCTGCTATAATAAATATATGGACCAGACTGGGACATGCCCTGTATTGGAATCAATCCATCCATCCATCTTCCAAACACTCAGGGTCATGGTGGTGGGGCAACTGTATAGGAGAAAAAGGATTGGGAACGCCTGAACAGGTGCACCCTGAACAGGATACCAAACCATTAGAGGGCATACACACACACACACACACACACACACACTAGGGAAACTTCAAGATGCCATTTGACTGCAGGTGGACACCTGTATGACACGGGGAGAACATGCAAACTCTATACATACATGCCCTGTCGCGTTTCATAAATTCCCCTATTGTACTGAAAAATATCTTTCGGTTCTAATCCACTTAAAACAGTCATATGCCAAAGACAGAGCTCTGTATTTAGTTTCACCTGCCCAATACACGAGGAATCTTATTTTAGAAGATATGTTTTTAACCTAATAATTAAACACGTTTCTTTTGAAAGAACCTGGCAGTTTCACCTTCTCCTGTCCCAGTAACCCCAGAATCAGCTGGGAGGGTCTGGCTGAGGCCCAGATGGTATCTTCACTGCAGTCATGTTACACACGAAGGGTAGAACATGTGTGCTCCTGACAAAGAGCTTCTTGTATTCAGGCTGTACGGACCAGGTGTCACTGTCACTGAGGTAAGTCAGAGTGTGGAATTTGTCATCATTAGTCATGGTTTTCCGACTGCGGCCCATTGGAATGGATCCTCTCCGGAGGGGGCCCGGCACGCCTCACGCTGAAATCTCAGGACAATGGGAATGGCTGCGGGGGGTCGCGGCGTCCAGCCTCGCCGCCGCATCTGCGGTTCCACAGGAGCCATGATGGGCTCCAGAGGAGCTGTCGGTTCTGCCAAGTCGCAGCCAGCGTGCGGTGTGAGTGCCACCGGACACAGGTCGAGCGTGCTGTGAAGATTCTCCTTGGCCCAGTGGATGGTCACGAGCGGCTGGGTCTGGCTATCATCCTCTCAGAGCTCTCAGGACCTCCTTCAGGAGAAACTCTTATCTTCTGTTCAGAAACTCACATTCACAGATTTAGAAAAGCACAAATCGGAAAACTCAAAATTTAGTAACAAATAGGCCAACGTATTAAAGACACGTCTAGACTGCGATAGGCTGGCATCCCATTCAAGGATTATGGTCTTTCCTTCCTGGGATAGACTGACAGTGACTCTGCACTGGATAAGTGGCTAGATGGATGGATGGATGGATGATGTTTGGATCATTTAACATTTGCAGCATTTTATTGAGTTTAACCACTTACACTGTTTCTTCTCACACCGTACTCGTATAACAGCATCCCTAATGTCGCTCCCTTTCAGCCGTTCTTTCTATCGTTGTGCCCAAATTTCTTGGCCTGCCCTAAATACAGGCCCCTCCCCTTTACGTGAGCAGTAAGAACAAGCCAGTCACAAGAGGTAGCCGTTGTTGCGTTAAGTTCCTTATAGGCAGAATGAGCAGGGTTTGTGCCAATTGAAAGTTTTCTAATATTAAGTGTTGCATGCATTGCATTCAAGGCAAAGGAATTTGATTTACATAACACATTTCATACGGAGGGTAAATTCAAAGTAGTCAATTCACTGACACGACAGGGATATAGATAAGGGGTCACCTTGTATAATGTTTATAATATAGATCTTTGACATTAGGCCTGACAATATGTGCAATTTAGTGCTGCTAACCCTAGTCCAGAGATGCGAAATTGGTCGAACATCTAAGCTTGAATCTGATCCAGGTCTTACCCCATCATTATATTAGTGTTTATTTCAAGAGGGTCTAGCTGCAGACGCCTATAGAGTGGAGCTCCACCCGAAATACGTCACCTCCACAGGAAACGCGTGATCTTTAAGGCCGTAAAGTGGAGCTCCGGTTAGGGTTAGGGTTAGGTTAGGGTTAGGGTTAGTGTTTATTCGCTGTAACACAGAGTTGAGGTCACATATTTCCGGTGGAGCTCCACTCTACAGGCGTCTGCAGCTGGACCCTTCTCCTTTATTTTGCAGATTAACCTAGTAGCCCTCGCTCCCAAAGAAAAATGAACGGCTCCCGGAAAGGAACGGAGCCATAAGTTCGGCTCCCTTCAAAGAACCGTTATTCCTAACACTATATCCATCAGAGGTAAGCTGGCGCCAAAAGGGCTGCTGGACCCTGAGCCCACTTGTAGAGAGATGCGACCTGCATCTGACGGCGCTGTTTTTCTACATTCTGAGGATTGTGCAGAGCCGTGACTGACTTTCTGGCCCATCAGTCCCTGTCAGGAAAGCAAATCGCTCTGACCGTGCCATTTGTGACCCTTTAGCACCTTCTAGTGGCCAAAGAGAGACATTCTGCCCCCAAAATGTACAGTATATGCATACTAATGAGAAATGAGAAAAAGCAGGTAAGTATTGTTAATTAGTTCTTAAACTATATAGAAGTGTGTCACCATAAAAGTATGGGTATAAGTAAGAGCATGGAGGATCCTATACTGGGGGGGTAGGTCACATTTCAATTAGGGGTCCAGGGGGGAATGCATTAGAATGCATTAGCTGGCTTTCATTAAAGTAATGTGTGAGTTACAACCACCCATCTCACCTGTGATGTACACCCAAGTAAACCATACCAACTGGTTGCTTTGTGATGTTGAGTGGGTATGTGTATGAGTACAATCAAGTGAAAGAATCTATCTATCTATCTATCTATCTATCTATCTATCTATCTATCTATCTATCTAGCACTGACAATTGAGGGTACAATTTAAATTTAAAATCACCCTTGTGGGCCAATAACAAGCCACAAAGTGAACCATTACAGATATTTTGAAAGGTTTTCATTATAGGCTTGTGACAATTTCCATTTCAAAGGCAAGGTTCTACTGAAATGGAAAAATCTACCAACCTCTGACACTTTGTAACCACACTGGATCAGGTGTGACGGACAAGTACAAAAAAAGTTTAAGTTACACGTATAATAAAGTTGCCTTCTTTGAATCTCGAGGCTTGGTGCTTACACTCCTGACGATCTGATGACCTTCAAAAGCTCAAAATGATACGGGCCGGTGCAAAGGCATAGACTTGGGCAGGGACAGTAGGGACATTTCGCTCCCAATATTGTGGGAGCTCTGTGTACGTTTAGGAGGGCGAGGGGTTCGAGGCTGATTTGGTCCCGACCCAAGCTGAAACCAAACCTAGTCCATGGGCCAGCGGCTCCACTATATTTTATGACCACTTCTTAAATATTATAAAAATGATCATGTGTTTTTTAATCCAAATTAAGAGTAACTCACAAGTCCTTGGATTACATATCATCTAAGTGTGAGGGGATACTGGACTCCTGGAGATGCTAAGGTATTCTAAGGTATGACACAGTGACACTCTGCTAATTGAGTGTTTTATGTATTTTGTGCCATCCTGCTGTCAAGTTGAAAACATCCAGTCTGGTTCACAATGGACCCATTTCACGATGCTAAACACACACTTAAAAATGCAAATGAGAAATAAAATTACAATTGGGAGCTCTGAATAATGTTTTTCAAGCATTTATCGCTGGTTGAGGCATCATGCGAATAGTCAGTGCTCATTTACCGCTGGCAAAATATTTCATGCATTTTATTAATCTATTACTCAGTTATAACTCATCATTGGCATTACAATTTGTCAAGAGAAGAAATGGCATTCAAACTCACACACTTGTAAACACATACTGATAAATATTTTCAGACCCAGCGGACAGAACCATCGACCATGATGAGAAGATGAAATATCCCAGACTATCCAACAGAATGTTCAGCAGGTGGGTCACATAATGAGTTTGCTTCCACTGAGAAATGGTCAGGTATTATGTTTAAAGGCATATTTCCCCCCCACCGGCCATAGGTGTCACCAGCCTTGTGTCTTATTCTGCCTGGGATAGGCTCCAGGTCCACCTGAAAAATATATACTTTTTTGCATATCCATCTTCTTGTCTACTGGCTGTTCTACTTACATAATGACATTCTACATTCCATTACGGTTAATCGTTCACTTTATTGGGAATGCATTTCATGTCTATGGACAAGCATGCATGTTGGTCTCCCATACAGTGCAATGATACGCAGACATACAATATAATGGTTCATACATATAAATACAATGGAAAAGGAAGCACGTATGCATTCACTGGAACTATTACCGTCCTCATCAGTGCATCTCATGCAGGAAGCCAGGGCCAAACTGCAGTGAGTGATTTCACTGTACAGTCTAGAAACATGATTTCACGATGTCTACGGTCATCATGGTCCAACACGCTGATAGTTATCAGAACATAAGCAAGGGTAACGATAATTATATTGAGAATCCCAGATTTGCCACCTACCCGCTGCTTTATATACTTTTTTGCCATTGAACACCCGATAAACCAAACCAGCAGACAGACCTGTGCCATTAATCTTAGGATTACCAGCCATTCCTTGAACTCATCAAGGCTGGTCCGGGATGCAGGTTCCTAGCACCTGCTCTTCCAAGAGGTGAGTTTGATGTGCTGCCCCCTAGTGGCCATTCAATAACAAGCCCGCACCAAGGCGATGGCCAGGAACATGAAGCAGAGGATGGCCAGCGTGGAGAACATGAAGAGGAGCCCTGCGAAGACGGAGGATGCCATGGGTAGCTGCACCAGCTTTGCTTCTGCGGGGATCATGTTGGAAAGGGCCAGCATGTAGCCCAGGGGCCAGGCTACGCTGTTCTGATTTATCTGTGCAGGGAAGCGGAATGAAAGTCACAGATGGTCATTATCTACACTGACCTCAAGTCATGGCACTCTAATGCTCTGTTCTGTTATATACTCATACGTCATATAGTCCAGGTCAGAGGTCTCAAGCTTACAGCCAAAGAGATGGTTTCATGTGGCCAGTTACACGTTTTTAAATCATTAAAAAACGTGGCCTGCAGGTCAATCTATTATTTTCCACTGTGTAATTTTTCATTTAAGTAATCTGTATAGACCTGATTCTCTTATAAATTAGCAGGATATACACATTGCATTGTTCTTTCCTCTCTCCCATTTCTCTTTCAGCTCATAAAAATAGTCCCGATGCCTCCCTTGGTGGGAGGCCTCTTATCCTAGCCCACGGATTCCAGGTTATTTCAGCTGGAGACTCCAGCTCCAGGTTCAACCAAAACACGAACCGCAATTGTAAATATGTTTTACAGACTTTGCATTGTCATCATGACCTTTACCTGGACAAATGTGATGCAAAATGGACGCACAGACAGATGCTGCATTCTGCTGTATTATATATGGAGATGAGAGAGTGTGTGAAGCTCACAAACGAGTAAAGTCACTAAAGCACCTGAGATAAGGACCTGGTAGGGAAATTGGTAGAGTAGTAATATTACAAAACACATGAAATAGAAATACCACAAAAACTGAAATGTGTTACGAGTCGTGATAAGCGACTACATTTTAGAGAAGCCTGTTAGCATGTACTGTATGCTATACTTTAAAGCTTACCTGTCAGTGTACGAGTTTAGGTAAAACTCCTTGTTGCATATTTGTTATAATATTATAATTATTATTTTATAAACCATTTGTAGTGGGAATTACTTACCTCATTTTGAAACCGGATGTTATTCCATGTCTCTGGGCTAAATTTGTAACCTTCAACCAACAAAACATATGCCAAATTTGCTGAGTAACAGTAAGACCGCAGGTATTTCTCCTTTTTAGAAGATCCTTCTGTTAACTAAAAAAAAAGAAGAAAGAAATGCAATGTGTGATTTTCGCATTTCCATGCTGGAAAAGGGTTTTTACCATCATGTGACATATTCTGTAGCAGACCTCTGTATGAATAGACAAGCAATACAGAAGTCATTCAGTTTCACAAAGGTTTGTTTAGAATTGTCTTTTGCAATATATTTTTTACCAGATTAAACATTAAATATATGTACTAATCCTACAATATCTTCTTTATTAAAAATAAGCAAATATTTTGGCCATAAACTACAGTTATTTCAATGTGTAAAATTTAATAAGTGAAGAATTCAAATGAGATCAACTTTTCACAATAATATTAGATTACTTCTTTCACAGCAAGGTCACAGTCCTGTAATTATCACAGTTGTGATTTCCTACCATAAAAACTGCAGTGAGAATTGGTGGTACTCAAATGTGTTAATCATTAAGGATAAATTCATTAAAAATGTGTTTAACTCACTGTCTTCCAGGGTAACGAGCAGTGAGACCGGATTTTGGAATCGAAGGCATCCAAGGAGAATGACTGATTGAGCCCAAACATCTCGGTAATGTAGGAAAATCCCGCATAGGCCTAGAAAAGCACACGTGCTTTTAAGGAATAACATTCAGCCAACACGCCTGCAGTGAGATGACAATAAAGTTCACTATGACTTTAACTTTGACAGTGACAGTAAGGGTATGACAGTGTAGCGACATTGGACCGTACCACAAAATCCCCCGAAACAGGGGGTTGATACACCCCATTGAAGGAACAATTGGAACGGCCCTGACAGGAACCCAGGTCAAACGCTGCCCGCACAGTGGACCGGCAGAGGCCCAGGTCTCCAGTCCCGACTAAGGTGAGCTGCTGTTTTGGGTTGTAGTTCGAGGTCTTTTGGTTGCAAGGCGTCTCAAAGATATACCCGGCGGACATGGTGGTGCTGTACCCAGTGTGATAGCAGGGGTTTTTCACTTGGCTGGACGATGACGTCTGTAATGCAGAGAAACAGATCCTGTGAGAATCAGAGAAAAGGAACTGCTCGTCCAGGGCACTGTGTCTCGCTAGAAGAACATGCAGTGACTAACACTGCATGGCTAGAAAGTTTTCCACCATTTCCATTGGGTCTAATTAAAAACATGACGAGTGTTACTTAATTATTATGAGCAACTGCTCTGGAGATCAGATCTGTGTAATACTTACAGCTATTTTTAAAAATTCTTAAAGACTAGTGACATTCACAGTGTTTAGCACCTTCTATGAAACATAAACCATTAAGTTGGGGGAAAACAAAAGATAAAGAATCTCATACACTACATACATACTCATACATACTCATACACTACATACATACTCATACATACTCATACACTATAATGACAAAAGTATTGGGACACACCTCTTAATCATTGAATTAAGGTGTTTCATTCAGATCCATTGCCACAGGTGTATAAAATCAAGCACCTAGCCATGCAGGTTTACAAACATTTGTAGAACACATGAGGTGTTCTGAAGACCTCAGTGAGGTCAAGCGTGGTACCATCATAAGATGCCACCTTTGCAATAAATCAGTTTGTGAAATTTCTTCCCTGCTAGATATTGACTGTAAGTGGTATTATTGCATAGCATAAGAGTTCAGGAACAACAGAAACTCATCCATGCACTGGATGGGACACGCATTATTACAAATGGCTATAGTACTGGGTAGGGCCCATTTTGCCTCCAGAACCACTTCAAGAGTTAACAAGTTGTGTGATCAGAGACGCCTTTCTATGCACATTTATACTGAGCTGTTATTTTTGCACTTGTGGCCTGTCTGTTAGCTTTAATGAGTCTGGCCATTTTCCTCATTTTCATATATTCTACAGCATGTGAAAATCCTAGGAGGGTCCATTCAGCCTCCACTCATGCAACGTAAATAGCAATTTATGTGAGACCAAAAGCAGACAGGTACAGTAAGGCTGCCTGTTTAAGGGCCGTCTCTATAAGTCACGCATAGGCTTTCTAATGGGGTCTGGTGACGTTACCCTTTCAAACTCCAGGCTGGAAAAACACGCACTTTGCTTTTAAAACCCCATAATGCATCTGCTGCCTGCTTTTCTAATCCCCCTCCATTTTTGCCCAAGGATAGCTCATATTGCGCTGATCCAGAAGCAGACAGAATGTATGGATTTTTCAGATGCATTAATTATAGAAAAGCTTGACTTGGTGCTTGGGAGAGAGGTGGTGGCCATTGTGCACTGGCCAAGGAAGTGTAATGCAGTAAAACGCAGACAATACCCGAACGAGGCTTGCCAGAACCTTCCTCTCCGCCTCGTCTTTGCCATAGCACGTGAAGCTGTGCGTGTAAACGCTGTACTCGTAACCGTACAGCCACACCTTCGTGTACCCGGGGGGTGCCTGCCCTTCAGCCGGGGTGGTGGAGAAGGCGATCTGGGTGGAGGCCCCCCCGAGGTCCAGGGACCCGATGGTCTTGGCACCGTGTGGACGCACCCAGGCATTCCACAGGTTCTTCTGCATGGAGACATAGGAGGACAGAGGAGGTAATGCCACAGATCTGCCAATGAACAGAGAAATGAGGTCAGGCCAAAGGAGCCGACAGGACAGGGAGTATAAGCCCCCGTTCACATTCATCTTCCCCTGTGTTAGGTCAGGTATGAGCTCAGGAGTCATTTTTCAAAATGATTCATAGTGCATTGGCAACATTTCATGTGTCATGCATACAGTTACTGAAATTCACACATTTCAGTTACATGTGACATTTAAGTTCCTTTTGCATAATATTAATGTATGAACTTTGAAATTGTACTAAGAAGGTTTGTGTTCAGCATTCATATTCAAGGTGAGTCATTGTACATTGGTGGCTTAATGGTTGTTCAGATACTGTACTTAAATCTGAAAGACAATGGGTTGTTTTCAACTTGCATAATGACGTTGATGTTTTTCTTGTTTCAGTAGAAGCCCTCTGTTTTTTAGCACTCATTTGAGTATCATAATAATATGCTGAATTTCACATCCTGCATAAGCAGCTTAACATTACTGCTGCATGTTCATTATACAGCAAATCTCATAAAGAAATTATGCTAAATGCCAACGAGGCAAAATGTAAATATGGCCATTTAAAAGCGTGGTGAATAATGTGCCATTTAAAAGCATGGTGAATAATGTGCTTGCACATTGAGTAAAGCGCCTTTGCAACTTGGGAATATAGCTGCACAAAATAATAAATGTCCTTTTGCTCTTCTGCTGAAATGCTGATTTTCCAAGAACTGAAGTGAACTCAAGTCAAAGCTACTCATTCCAAGTTTATTCACTGTGTGGAAAAAACAGAAAACACGGGGAACAAAACCCAGCTCTGGGCACAGAGCAACGTGACAAGGACTGTATATTTATGTTGAAAATTGCATCAGTCAAAACACATAACACAATAAAGATTATAATGTGATAAACAAGAAAACAAATACATAAAATGCATTTTTAAAGAATGTTGCCAGTCATTCAATAAAATGCAAACATTTATTGAAACTTTTTTCAATAGGCCAGTAAAAATGAGCTACACTAACCTCCACAAAGTTCCCCATCAGGTAGTTGGCGGTGATCCAGCCATACAGCCCCTCCTCCTCACCGGAGATGATGGAGGCGTTTCCAAAGCTGAAGGGTAAGCTCTGCAGGTACCTCCTGATGTCCAGCAGGATTTTATCAGAAGCACTTTCATTCTTAGACCTAGTAGAAAAATATCCAGGCATGGGTTAGGGCAGTGGTCACCAGCCCTGCTACTGGAGATCTACCACCCTGCAGAGCTTAGATACAGCCCTAATTTAACACGCCTGATACAGAGATTCAGGCCCTTCAGTAGCATCTCAGTATAAAAGCCAGCTATGTTAACATAGCTACTGAAGGACCTGACTATCTGTATATCAATGTGTTAAATTAGGGCTGAATTTAAGCTCTGCAGGGTGGTACATCTTCTGGACCAGGGTTGGTCACCACTGCTCTACTGGATAATCAGTATTGATTATGGATGTACAAGGCATAACCTGTTGATTGTGGATGAAAGGTCACTCCTCATGATTCAGCTGACAAGGACAACCTCTACAGTACATCAATGCATCAGAGCCACTCACATGCAGCCACAACAACTAATGATACTTAGAATATTACTTAACCTCAGCAGCCTCATTCCAGCTGTCGCCCCCAGGAACAGTGGGGTGGAATTGTGCTGGGATAGAGGGATCGTTTCCAGGGTTTGTGCCATACACTCCTTCATGGAGTGCCAGGTGCATCTGTCCTGATCAGGGTCCTGACCAAAGCTAGAAATCCCAGGACCTGGGAGTGAGACCAGGAAATAAATATCCACACATTGCTGACTTCTGAATGCACAATACAACAGGAAACAGCCAGCTACAGGTCACTGATTGATGAATGTACAATACACACAGGAAACAGCCAGCTACAGGTCACTGATTGATGAATGTACAATACAGACAGGAAACAGCCAGCTACAGGTCACTGATTGATGAATATGCAATACAACAGGAAACAACCAACTACAGGTCACTGACTGATGAATGCACAATATAGTTCAGCCATTAGATCGCTTACAGTGTTAGAATAGGCATTGTAGAAATAGAATAGAATAGAAGCTCTATTGTCATTTTGTTGAATATACAACAAAACTATGAGTGCTGCAGGTATTATGCACATGACATCCATTACTGAAAACACCCTATTCACAATTTAGCTCTGTTGACTTATAGAACATTTGCTTATAAATATGTGCAAAACTTTAATGGAAACACAGCTTGTGATTTACTGTTAGAATCAGTGCTACAACTGTCATACTGTATATCCTTTGAGAACGGAATCTCTGTTTTCTTTATATTATGAATGGATGGATGGATCATGGAAATTAATCCTATGAAACTGACTTCCTTATTCAGAGGCATTCTTTATGTCTGATTCTACAACATCTTTAATCCAGAACTCATGGTTCTCATGTCACTGTTTGCTGATCTGAAACACTGGCTGTGTCGTCATGGCGATTAACAGGTCTCGCCCCCATTCCCCCACAGAAACGCTTCCTTACCTTCTACTCGGCATTTCAGGGTCTGAGTGACCACCCCGGTGTTGTTCTCCTTCTCTGCTGGCCATTGGTAGAGGTACACGGTGGTGCGTGAGGAACCTGCATCCAGGACGATCCCATACTGGGGAGGAGGAAAGCAGACGCCTTAGATCCAGCCGCTTTCCACATGTGGGAGAGACAGAGACAGGAAGGCCGAGCCCTGATGCTCACCGAGCCACAGTGCTGCTCTGAGGGAATTATTACAGCCTGCAATCAATCCTCCTCGTCAAGCTTTAATTGCTACGCTTTTAAGAGTTGACTGAATGTTGCTGTTGGGGATAGACTGAAGTCATTGTTTAAGTTTTTTTTCTGAATAAGAGGAGTAAAACCCTGGCGGCCATATTTTATTCCCTCTTCCCCCAACATTTCATGCACATGAAATCATGAGATTTTTTTCCTGCTACACCCGTCACTTTGTATCCTCTCATTTCCTATTGGTTTCAGGATACCATGGGGTTGCTAAGGCTATCGCACCCACAGGGATTGAAGATGCAAACCGAATCCATTTTCTGCTGGACCTCTGTGCAATTAAATTACTTTTTCAATTAGTTAGAAACACATGGAGAAATGTTTCACTGCTTCCCCGGGGACTATTCGAGACGTGCGCCTCCGTTATTTAAAGCCAGGACACCTGGCCATTTCCTGCTCAGTAATCAGGTTAAGTTTCCTTTTCCATGGCTGTTACTTATAGAACTTTCACATTCTTTGATACATTTATTTTAGGGAACTAAATGGTGACATTGGCCTTGTTAGGCCAACAAGACAGAGGGGAGACTGGTGAAACTCACCTACCTGTCATTGGTGACAAGGGAAATGGCAAATCCCGCCAAACCCCGCCTACTTGTCATTGGTGACAGGGGAAAATGGCAAACCCCGCCTACCTGTCATTGGTGACAGGGGAAAATGGCAAACCCCGCCTACCTGTCATTGGTGACAGGGGAAAATGGCAAACCCCGCCCAACTGTCATTGGTGACAGGGGAAAATGGCAAACCCCGCCTACCT